ATGAAGTGAATGACAAGAAATGGCTGCATAAACTCTATGAACAAGGGCTGGTTCCATGATTTGTTGAAGGTAATGACTCTTTGCTTGGAGAGGTCTATTATCACACAAATTTGATCAGTGTCTTAGTCTGTTTGGGCTGCTATAACAAAATACCATAGACTGGGTGGCTTATAAACAATAGAAGCTTATTTCTCACAGTCCTGGAGGCTGGAAGTTCAAGATTAGGGTGCCAGCATGGTGGGATTATGGAGAAAGCCCTCTTTGGGGTTGTAGACTGCTAACTTTTTGCTATGTTCTCATATGGTGGAAGAGGTGTGGGATCTCTAGGGTCTCTTTTATAAGAATACTAGTCCCATTCATGAAGGTTCCAACCTTGTGACCTAAACACCTCCCAAAGACCCCAGATTCCTAAAACCATCACACTGGGCATTAGGGTTTCAACATATAAATTTTAAGAAGTTAACCTAAAACAACAAAACAGCCAGTTATATGACCAGCAAAACAGGTTTATTCAGAAAAAGCAAAGAATTTCAATTCAGGACATGCCTCTATGGCCAACCATATGCAAGTCCACATGCAAGAAAAGGAAAGGAAACTCTTTTATAGGAGAGAAGGGGAGGTTGGGAGGAGCTGTTATAGACAAAAAGTCCATTGGAGGAAACTAAGGGTTTGAAGTATAGTAGCTTTTCATTGGCTGAGTTGTGACAGTCTCTCATTGGCTGAGCTGTTGCCCCGCAAGAAGAAAATCTTTTCCCTCCTGCTGGCAGTAGTAAAGTAGTGTCATTTCCTGCTGGAAATGTAAAGTAGTCTTTTCCTCTTGGGATCTGTACTATTGATTGACATACGGAGTGGTATGTGTGTGAGAGCTTGCCCTTCTTACTTCCCATTTTAGTGAGATTTCCCTTTTTTAATTTTCACAGGGTGGACACAAACATTCAGACTATAACAATCAGGGAGAGAGATTTTCAAGTGATCTTTGTAGATAGAATGTATGATTACTCGGCACTCAGAATAAGCACTTGGAGAAGATGGAAAGGAACCTGCTTAGGTGAGATTGCATTTTTAGACCATCAGAATCAATTTAGGTGTGTGGTTTTTCTATGTAGGGTTTCTGGCTACTTTGACATCTCTGGTTGATTTTTAACTTCTTATTTTCTACTGCATACTATATATCTTCCCTGGGCTCCCAGAGACAGCACAGCTTCAAGACATCCTTAACTAACTAAACCTACTTCTTTTCCTCTCTTCCCTTTATTTCTGCAATCAGTGGCAACATCAATCACCCCATTGTCCAAGAGAAAACCTGGGAATTATTCTAGACCCCATCCCGCTCTGTCATCTCTTCTGTCCCCAGATGTCATCTATTTCACTTCTTAGCATATCTAGAACAGTGCTATCACCTTTAAAAGTGCCCTGCTTTGGTTTCTACCTTCATCATTTTTCATTTGTATTACTCCAGTAATCTCTTAATTCTCTTCCCTACCTCATCTCACCCCCTCCAATACGTCTCCCTCGATGCCTCTAGCATGAACTTTCCAAAATCCTTCAGTGGTGCTAACTCTGGCATGAGGCCCTCCGTGATTTGGCTTTTCCTCCCTCTCTAGCTCCTCAGCTGTGCCCTGGGCTCCAGTCATGAGGAACTGCTCTCTGTCCTCCTGAGGCTGAAGTTAGTTCCTCAAGCCACAGGGCTTTGCATTTGCATCTGCCTGGAAAGTTCTTCCATAATTCAGATTAGGCTCACCTTTGGGGAAGACTTCTTGGACTGTAAAGGCTGATTTATGAGTCTCCCATGAGGTTTCCTTACCATTGTATCTAGCAAAATACAGCTTTATAATTTATTTTTCCATCTCCCTCATAAGATGATGAGTTCTGAGGCCAGGCTTAAATACGGTGATGGCAGAGCTCTGACGTCTCGTGAGGTCTGTTCGTTGACCACCTTCAGGGAAGACCATGCTAATTCTCAGAAGCATAAATGGCAAAGGGTGAAGCAGCGATGGCAAAGGGTGAAGCAGCGATGGCAAAGGGTGAAGCAGAGATGGCAAGGGGTCAAGCAGCAGTGCCCAGTGCCGCTTCTGCATTACAAGCTGTACATGGAGCCTGGGGCCCAAGCTGGTAGCTGTGGGAGTCTCTGATAAGCAGGTCTATGATGGTCTCTGCAGCCTCCAACTCTCTAGCTTTTCAGGAGACTCTCTGAACTGCATGATATTTTTGAATAAATCTATTTTTTCATTAACCCAATTCCATTGGCTTCTGTGGTGTGTGAGCAGGAGCCCTCACACAGACCTGTGGGAGAGCCCCGGAGTCACATTATCCTCTTCTGCTGTTCCAGGTCTCTGCCACACGGGTTCGCTGTAGAGAAGCTGGCTCTTCATTCTTCATGCCCCATCCTGGTCCACGCTGTTGTGAGGCCTCCAGATCTTAGGTCACTGTCCGAACTGGTCCTTCCAAAGCCCACGATGCCACACCCTCCTAGATCAGCTGAATGTGCCCATGTGATGGGTTTCTCAGCTTGCAACCCTTAGTACTCTTTTTTTTGTCTCATACACAGGTATCTGCTAAGGTGCCACATGCTTCAAGTTTGCTGGGTCAGGACAAGGTGATGGTTTTAAAACATGCCACAAATTCTTTGACACCCTTCCCATCAAGAGATGGACTATAGTTCCTCCCCTAGAACCTGGTCAGGTCTTTGTGATGAAAGTGAGGCTAACTGACTTCCCAGGCTGGGTTAAAATAGTCAGTGCAGGTTCTGCAGGTATTCCTGGGACAGCTGTCAGCTGCTGTGTAAGAAGTCTGGTGCCCCTGAGTCGCCATGTTGACAGCCCACGTGGAAACACCATATAGAGCATAGAGAGAGATGACTGAGAACTCCAGCTGTTGAGTCCTCCCACCTAGGCAAGAGACACGTGAGTGGAGAAGCCTTGGAGATGATGCTTGTCCTAGCCTCGTCTGATGGCAGCTGGATGAGAGGGTGGAGGACTGCCCCACCGGCCCAGTCAATCCCCGGGTGCAAGAGCAAAATCATAAACAAGTGCTTTGTAAATCACTACACAGTGATTTCTTACACAGCCATAGATAACCAAATACTCTCCTGAACTCAGTAACAAAAGGAATTAAAAATCTGGGCAGTATGGGAGGGGAGAAGGAGTTACTGCTTATTGGGCACAGAGTTTCAGTCTGGGAAGATAAAAAATTTCTGGGGATGGTTGCATAAGAATATGAACGTGCTTCATGCCACTGAACTGCACACTTCAAAATGGTTAAAATGGTAAAATTTTTGTTATGTATATTTTATCAAAATTTTTAAAAGCAAAAAATCTGGGCAGTAACTGATTTTGGAATATGTGTAGAAATGGGCATCATATTATTAAAATTTATATTATTAAAACATTCATATTATTATTAAGGACTCTATCCAGAACTGGACCCCAGATTTCGATGGTAATATTTATGTGAAAAATATACCTCTGCCTTCAGAATGATGATAGCTGTGGTTTAAAAAAAAGATAAAAGCAGCTAATGTTTATTAACTGAGCACCTTTTATGAACAAAGTGCTACGGGTGCCAATAGAAGGAAGACAAAGTCTCTAAAGTGTCTTACGTTGGAGTGGGGGCAGGGGGTGCCAGCTGGGTGAGCATCTACGGGGAGAGGTGGACAAATGAAAACAGAGTATGTTGGGTGATGACAAGCGCTATGCTGAGATTAAAGCAGGCTCATGAGATAGAGGGATGGTGTCCACTGCACTTTGGGGCCATAGAAGATTTATTAAGGAGGGAGGAACAGGTTTAAGAAGTGGCAGAACTTTGGGTTGGCCTTGTTTCTTTGGAAATGCGATTAGATACCCAGAAGGAGGTGTTATGTACTCAGTGAGATACACAGCCTGGAGTTCCAGGAAAGGCCAGGGTTGGAGACACAAATTTGTGAGTCATTGTATAACTGAGCAGAACCCTATAGGGCCTTCCCAGGACAGACCCCTCCCCCACATCCTCTGCTTTAGCTCCTCTCGGAAGTACACTTCCTGAGTTGTTTTATAGGTGTTAAAACCCCCACCAAATGGAAGAAGTTAACTACGTGGTGAGGTGATGACCATGAGCACGAGCACATAGCCCCCAGGCCTCCTGGAGCCTGAGGATTGATGTTAACCCCTTGTGACATCACCTGTTACATCATCAGCCAACCAGAGAATCGTAGTACATGAGCTGATCATAGACCCTGGGATGGCCCTCCCTCACCTGACCTTTAAAAATGCCTCCCTGAAACCCATCGGGGAGTTCAGGTGATTTGGGCATTAGCTGCCCTGGACTCCTTCCTTGTCTGGCGCCTTACAATAAATGCTGCACTTTCCTTCACCACAACCCGGTGTCAGTAGATTGGCTTTACTGCACTTGGGGGAGCAGACCCAAGTTTGGTTCGGTAACAGTTTGACCGTGGTGGGATTTAAAGCTGAATCTAGGTGAGTTCACCAGCACGAAGTGAGAGAAATGACCCGAAGGAAGAGGCTGAGAAGAAGGCTAAGACCAGCAGGCCAGGCACAGAATGTGATGCCCTGAGGGGCTGACTACTGCTGCCTGGGGGCAGAGGAGGGTGAGAATGGTTAAGTGACTGTGAGGTTTGACACCAAGGAGGTCAGTGATTGTGCTGTGGTATCTGTGGAGAGGTCTAAAGAAAGGGTCAAAGAGAACTTCTGAAATGAGGAACTGAAGACCAGTTTTTCAAGAGCTGTGAGGTCAGTCATTATGACAGGTATTATGCTAAACATTTTACTTCAGGATGCAGCTTCATTTTCTCAAAATTCCAGTTTCCATTTTAAAGGTAGAAAATGAGACACAAAAAAAGACAGTAAATTGCCCAAGGCCAAGCAATGAGTAGGCGGTAAAGCTGGGATTTGAATTGTGCTTTTGTGAATCCACTGTCCTTCAACTACCTAACCCTTTAGTCCAGTCAATATAGCACTCCTGAGTAAATAGATAATTTAATGTCATTTTCTAATAAATAAAATATGTATGATTGACTAAAATATTTATTTGAGAATTATACAGCAAAATTCCAATACAGCATAAACTTCAGAGACTTTTAAAAAATATCCAATAAAATTGTCTTTTCTTTTTCTCGAAGTACTAATTGTGCAGTATCATTTCAATTAAAATGGAACTCTTGAGAGGAAAAGAGCAGAAAGAAGAGAGAGATCACAGCTTCATACATTGTGCTGAGAAACAAGAGATCTTCCTACGCGAAGGCTAATCCAGTCAAAATAATTGGCCACTTTGGTGTAAACGCCTGGGAACTCTGATTTTCCACAGTTTTCACCCCAACTCACAACACCCCAAACATAAGACACATTGTTGGCATCTTGACAGACCAAGGGGCCTCCAGAGTCCCCTTTACAAGCATCAGTGGAACCGTCATCTGTACCTGAGAGAGACAAAGGAGAAAGAAAGTCGCACGCTTACTTCCATTTGTCAAGGCTGCCATGCTGACTACCTGCCTCTTCCACCAACGTCTGTACCAACTTCGACTTTTTTACCCTCTCCTGACAAGAAGTAACACGCGCTGTCCCTCACAGACCCTGGCTAGGCCCACAGAGCCGTAGAGATGCTGGGTGGGAAATACTGTCTGTTCTACTCATTCTCCAAATCTAGCAAGTGCTCTCTCTGCTTTCTCTCCTTTGTGGAAGTATATACTATGATGAGTTAGCAATCTGAAAGCAGCATCGAAGGCTGGGTGGGAAAATAATAGGACTACCTAGTGCTTAGTCTGTATTCGTTGTTTTAATCCTCACCACAACCCTATGAGGTAAGTATCATTATCATCTCTTATTTTAAGATGAGACAAATAAGGCAGGGAGGGCTTAACTAACTTGTCCAAGGTCATCTAGCTAGTAAGTGGCAGAGCCTGGACTTGAACCCAGGCAGCCAGACCTCAGAGTTTGTCCTCTTAACTGTGATTCTGCCCCCTGCTAGATTTTGCGCTATTCTCCCTTTTTGTCCTCTGTAATCCTGAACTCCGTTTTAAGATGCGAGGGCACAGGGAATGGTCTGCTAACTTTCTTTTCACTCTAATGACTTCCTAAGATTTTTAAATCACTGTATCCAAGAAGTTATAGGATGCCAGTAACTCTGCCATTTTCTGTAATCCACTATGTGTAAGTGGTTTCAGTAGAGCATCTGAAATGCTCTATGCTGGCGGGGACCCTGCCTTTGAGTCAGCACCAGAAGTACCGACTGCTGTAGTTGTGTTAGCCAGGGGCAGTGGTTTCTCTATGATATTAAAGGAGAGAGTGGCAGGTATTGTAAGAAGTGCAATGGGATTTCCAAGGAGGGAGAATTTACTTCCAAATGGATGAATTTGAAATGAGGTTATTTGGATTTTTATTTACAAGAGGTTTGGGTTGGGTCCTGGATATACCACTTCTTGTCTGTAAGGCGTGGGCAGCTGATGTAGCTGCTCTGTGTGTCACTTTTCTCATCTGTGAAGATCACCAATTTTGCAGATGAGGAAACATGCTCAAAGTCACACCAATTGCAACCGGTAAAAACCAGAATATAAACCCAGGCAGTCTGGTTCCAGAGTCTGTGCTCTTAGTCACCTGGCTATACTGCTATGTAATAGCTTAACGAAGATTCTTCCTCTGGGTAGTAAGTTGTGGGAACTTGAGCTGAGGGGAAGGGACCGAAAGAATTTGATGATGCAACAGCTAGAAGGCCAAAGGAAAGGGTTTGAGGCCCTGAGCAGGGGGTGACAAGGTGGGGAGGGAGAGGAGTTTGGTAGCGGGTATGGCGATATCTCCGAGAAGCCCCTCAGTACTTACCTGCACACAACATTTCTTTTTCAAAGTAGCGATTTGAATAAAATTTAGAGCAGTTGTCTATTAGATGAACTTCACCCCACTTAAGTGAATAGACTTTTTGGTCATCTAAACAAAGTGAGAAAACAAACAGACATTTAGAAGTTACAAATGAGTAATTGAAATAAATTTTTACTCTCATAATTTAGTAGACCATCAGGACCATTAAAAAAGATGTATATTCTTTAATGTATTTGTAAACCTTTGAGGATAATTCATTAACGTATTTAATCACACACTGCTCATATCCCCAGTTTGTATAATTGTCTTTCTAAAAATAGTCAAGGGGCATTATTGAACCTAGGGCCCAAAGTCATGCTCATTTAATAACGAGCTGGGTGCTCTGAGGTGAACGAGATAGACTCCTTCTGCTCTGACCACTGAGTTCGGGGGGATATCTATCAAAATCTGGGATCAGTGTCTTCTCACATAAATAGCTCCTGTCTTCTTACAACCTCTTATTTTCTTGAAAGTGCTTGTTAGAGTGAAAACAACTTTTTAATATAAGAATTTAAAATGAAGAAAACACATATGAAGTTATCAGTATCTATGTGTTTTTGTGTGTCTGTGAGGAACTCCATCTCCTAAATGATTTGAAAGTGATTGAAAGAGGACTTAGGATTTCCTTTCCACTTAAGTTACAGATTTGGGATTTGAACATTTTTGGTCCAAGGAAAGAGAAGGGCCAGGTACAGTTACTGACTAACAGTGCAGGGAAAAACCTAAGAACACAGCATGAGTTGTCTCAGGTTTAGGGAATGAATCTTTGCCCCATCTCCCCTCATCTTTCTCCGAGCTTGCAGCAATTTTTACCTGCTCTAGGAGGGCAGGGGAGAAGCCTGATTCATTCACTGCTGCACCAGCACCAGTTTCACGCGAGCACAAAGTACTTGCTTAATAAATAGTTATGTAATTAAGTAATGCATAAACTCAGTAATTCAATGATACACTAAACACTTTATGCCAAATGACTTGCCTCCTTAATTAATCTATAAACTACCTGGGGACAGAGACCTCTGGCTTATCCTGAGAGGACACCCCGACAGACCCCAGCTCTGTAGTGAGCACATAGTTGTTAACTGTAGGACTAAAATTCTTCTCTTCCGGGAAGCAGAGGGAGAAAAATAAATCCACCAACATATATGGCAAATCAGGAAAGAGTTTTCTTTTTTCTCTTTCAAGTCCTACTTCAAGTTAGTCTTAAGATGACTACCTTCTTCAGGATAAGAGCGTTCCAAAAATTAGTAATTTATTATTTCCCCTAACTCAGGAGAAGCCTTCAAAAACTAGCTCTTGGACAGTGTGAGTAATTTTTAATGACTCAGGAGATACATCCTCCCCTGAACTCTTGTTTTGTATATTTCTCGAGGCATCTGTCACATTCTGCTGGCTGACAGTGGCATTCATGTCTGATGGCGCTTCTGGACTGTAAGTCCCATGAGAGCTGGCTTTTGTCATTCTACTTTGTAGCCTCAGCACCTAAGTTTGTTGACTGGGTCCATATTTTTCATCAGTGAAATACTAACACTTTGGCATTAATATCTTGCACTCACAGTAAGGGCTCAACAAATGTGTAAAACCACATTTGATTAATAAACAAATCAATGCATAAGAACATACCTACTAGTTTACAGAAAATACATAGAATAGAAGCACATATTAAATGCCACATAAGGATACACTCAGACAAATTCAAGGCATGGAAATTCTAAATAAGAATGACCTAGTTTCATTTAAAATACTTAACTTAAAAACATTTTTTTTTGACAGCAGTTTTTTGGGGGAGAGCAGGTAATTAGGTTTATTTATTTGTTATTATTATTATTTTTTAATGGAGGTACCGGGGATTGAACCCAGGACCTTGTGCATGCTAAGCACACACTTTACCACTGAGCTATATCCCGCCACCCTCATTTAAAATAAATACATTTTAAATAAAAGAAAGAGGTAACAGTTCTAAATTTAAAGAGATTTAAGAAAAACAACCACTAAATGCAATGTTTGAACTTTGTTTGGATTCCAGTGGAAATAATCTGGCTGTAAAAATATTTTGTAAATAATGGGCAAAAATTAAACACAGATGGTTATTAGATGATAACAGAAAATGAATTAGAAAATGAATGGAATCATTTTTATTTTGTTGGGTCTGAATGGTATTGAGTTTTTGTTTTTGTTTTATTAAGTCCTTACCTGGTAAAAATGTATAGTGGAGTATTCATGGGTGAAATTACATGATATCTGGGATTTGATTTAATATGCTCCAGGAAAAATAAGTGTTGGGGGGAATATATTGAAAAGCTCCTGATTGTCCTTTGGATCCATTCTCCACCCTTCTGTGCCCTCCCCTGCCCAGAGAGCCTGAGTGGGAGGGACTGCCTCAATAGGAATGTCTTCACTTCTTTCCAACAGGGGACTTTGGCAGAAGGGAAGGAGGGAAGGCGTGAGGATAGCAGGAGTGGAGCTGGCTCTAACCTTCAACCCAAGGTCATTACTTCTCTCAAGGTAGTCTGCTCTGAGGCTCTTTCTCCTTCTGGTAACTTCTCCTTTGCCTTATGCCTTCAGATCTCGGAAAGGACTCAGCTCTGGTCCTGTTAGTCCTGGGTCCATGCAAAGCCCTTGTGGTTCCCCAACCTGCCACCCACAACTTTGTTACTAACCCCTTTATAGGTAAACTTTCCTAATAATCCTACTGTGATTGTGATCAATTCAGGGAGCTAAAACAAGAATAGTAGAATGATAACTGTGAAAACTGCATGATGAAAAGTACGCTTGTCAATGTGACAATGAGTGTGTATATGTCCATGAATGACTGAAAAATTGTGCTGAACACTGGAATTTGACACAACATTGTAAAATGATTATAAATCAATAAAAAATGTTAAAAAAAAAAGAAAAGTAGGCTTGTCATACTTTATCTCTGCTTTTGTGTTTACATGTTAATGTGCATATGAAAGTTTTTTAAAAACAACAAATATAAGGACATAATACTTTCTGGATGAATTAATTACTAATACAATTCAGTATTTCATAAGTCTTGAGTATTCAAACATACCACAAATGCAAGTTAATTTATATGCATATTTTATACTTTTCAATATGGAATTTATAAAGAATGTTTTGGAATAGGAGTTTATAAGATCAAGTTATTTACACAGAGAGTTTGAGATCAAAAGGAAGCTGAATTTCTAGGCTAACTCTTCAAGATGAAGGAAAAAGCACTGGCTAATTTAATTCTAATCTATCTCTAATTTAGGAGATCTTTTAAGCAAGTTGTCCTTAAGTGTCTACATCTCTTGCTCATATGAATGTTCACTTCCAGTCTTCTTAGAAGCTCAAGGAATGTATTCTTTATGTTCCCTTTCTCTTTGTGGGATGTGGGGGTGTAAAAATGGAGAACAGGGAGCAGAGAGGAGAGAGCAGCAGGGTTGTAGGATCGGTGACTCAGCCTATACTAGGACTATCCCTTTGAAAACCTTTTTAATCCTCCATCAGTACCTTTCCAATGAACCCAAAAAGTCCATGCTGGATGTCCCCCTGTCACTCTACTTTTTTCTTGATGAATGGCTAACCCTCAATGTATGTTTTAGTAGCACAGAGTACAGGTATCCTTTGAGACTCTGCATCAGGATCTATTACATAATTGGTAGAACCCAGGGAAAATTGAAAATGTGAGATGGGGCCCTTGAAAAAATGATTAAGAAGTTAATGATAGTGACAGCAGAGCAGTAAACAAGGCCCTACGGTGCCCAGAGCTGGGGTGCTGGACACCTACTCAGGTCCTAAGCCCATGAAGCCAGCCCTGGCTGACACTCACTTTCCTGGATTTGACACCATGTTTATCTCTGAGCACTCAGAAATTAGCTCCAATGCATTTCTAGTCCCATTCCTTTTCAACCTCTGAATTCTGATTAACAAGCTATAAAACATATACCTCTCTCTCGACCCCAGCCGGAAATGATGCATTTATCGTTAGGCTGAAATAGATATGGAGACCAGGGAACACAGGCAGGGACTGAATTAAACAGCATACATTCTTTTCGGCTCGGGTGTTTTTTCATTTCAATCAAAGCTATGTCATTTTGGTAAGTGCTCCCATTGTACTTCTCATGGATAATAACTTCATTTACCGACTGAACGGTTATCTCAGGGCTGGGCATTAACCAGTCTGTAAATGATGCCCATATTTGGTAATGATGAGTTTTGCTGGCTCTGTAACAGAAGGAAAAAGGAAATAAATACATTGGGAAAAAAAAAACCCAAAAATTAGACTTCTGATGCTTCAGCTTTATAACTTTCCTTTTTAAGGAGATTTTTCATTTTCCCAGGTTTTTAAAAATTATTTTTCATCCTTGCTGTCATGAAGCAGTGCAACTAAATCTTCTTAGGGCAGAATTAAAGAAAGTCAATAGGTAAATGGAGAGAGGAATAGTTCATCTAATTGCTCAATGTCAGGGACAGAAAGATGTCACTAACAACCCAAGATGCCAGAAGTAGAATGAGTTGGCTGCCTCTGAGTGACAGCAATGGCACTGAAGGTGCTCAAGCAGAGACCAGATGGCATCAAGCCAGAAATGTGCTTGAGGAACTGGGAGGGCAGAGCACAGACTCTCATTACACTACTAACCCCAGAGGTTCCCAGGGCGAAGACCACAGCAATCATCATCTTGACCTTTAAGACTGATTTCATCTTAACTTTGCATTGTGTTTATTTGCACACAAGCTTTTCCTCCTGTTTGTGCTACTTGAAGTCAAAGAGAGGGTCTTATTCATCTATGGGTAGATGCCTGTGCCTAGTAGTGGATCTGGAACACAGTAGCTGCTTGAAAACTTGGTGGAAATGGTGAATGAGCTAAATAATGTCTGTCCTCATGCCTCACTCCATTTTCATACCAATTTTCATCTTGTGGTTTCCGGCAAATCGAGCATCTACCACCATTGTCTCAGGGAATCACCTTACAGTTAAGCAGTGATGTCCTAGGAACTAATGGGGCGTTCAGGATGCTTTTATTTATACTTAGTATTCCAAGAATGCTGTGCTTCATATTAATTTGGGTTGTTTTTCAGGATCAGAGGCTCTGAATATTGTTTACAGGTTAAGTCTGCTTATCCATTCAATTTACTCAGTAGATATTTGGTGCGCACCCACCATTACATCAGGCACTGGGCTAGCCACTGGGATGCGGGAATGGGCAAGATCAGGAAGAGTTCCTGCCTTCGTGGAGCACAGGGTCTAGAGAAGGAAGCAGCATTAAATGGATAATCCCACCATTGAAGATATGTATTCTACTGGGAAAAGTGAGAGGAACTCATAGCACATGGGCTTCTGAGAACTTATCAGGAAGGCTTTGACTTCAGGGAACCAGGGAAGGTTCTCTGAGGAAGTGAAGGTTGAGCTGAGATCTGAATCAAGAGTAGCACTAACTAGGGAAACATGGTAGGAAAGGCGATTTCAGGGATGGGAAACCATACATGTAGGTCTCTTTGCAGCAGGGAACAAGGTACATTTGAGCGGCTGAAAGGAGCCCAGAACAGATGGAGCAAGGAGCAAGAGGTGACGCTGTGAGGCAAGATGAGATTGGCAAAGGTAAGTAGATCACTTGGGGCCAGATGAGCCATGTTAAACATTCTGTTGAGTTTTTTTTTTATCCCAAGAGGAATGCAAAGCCATTGAATTTTAAGTGGTAAGTGGTCAAAACCAGCTCTAGAACTACTACTCTCACTGCACAGTAGGCAATGGAGAGGTGGGGGCAGGGCTGGGCAGAGTGAACATCGGGGAGCTAACCAGGAGGTGGTGGGTGTTAGTGAAATCCAGAAGAGAGGTGAAAGCAGGATAACAGTGGGGATGGAAAGAAGCTTTGAGAATTAAATAATTAGAAATTAAAAATGCCATCTGGAGTTGGCGATATCCTGGCTGGGCTGTGGTAAGACTGATAGAATGAATGCAGTGATTTTTAGATTTCTACCTTGTGAAACTAGATGAACAGCATTGGTCATTTGCTAAGAAAATGAACACTAGGTCAGGACCATATTTGAGGAGAAAGGACGTATCATGAGCTCCATCTTAGATGTTTTGAATTTGATGTACTTCTGATAGAGCCAAGAGGTGCTGATAGTCAGCTGACTGTAGGATCAGTGATTGGAGAAGAGGTTTAGGCTGGAGATACCATTGTGTCAGCATACAGCGCTGTTTTAAAGTACAGATAATTTTAGAGAGAAGAAGTAAGAAGAGAAGAGGAAGCCAGGATACACACTGAGAAACTCCAGGATTTCACCTGAGCATCAGTGCTCAGTCACAGGAGGAGGAAACTGCAAAGAAGGATGAGGAGGCATGGTCAGAGAGGTAGGTAGCAAACCAAGAAAATGTTGTCTCACAGCAGCCAAGAGAATAGGGTCATTCAGAAGGAAGAGATGAAATTTGGTGCATTGCTCCAATCTACGAGAATCTTTATGGGTGTCATTCAACAGATTTCGTATCCCTCTCAATTTTGGGCCCCCTGCAGATTTTCCAAGCAGGCCTTCATCTAAGTTACTGTCAAGTATGTTGAACTTGATGTTACTCCAGCTCTGATACTGACTGGTAGGGTAGCTTTAGCCAAGTCATGTAACCTCCAGTCTCAGTCTGCTTATTAAGTAAATGAGAGAAATAATATTTACCTTTTAGTACTGTTGAGAATATTAAAATAAAATAACATATGTGAATGTGCTAGGCACAGTATCTGGTCTGTAAGAGGTGCTCAATAAATGATATTCTGTTCATTCTAAAGGTCAGAAGTGAGGCCAGATTCCTAAACTGTGTCCTCCCAGCTGATCTTGCGCCATGCAAATGAGCCAAGTGAAATAACTTGGTACCTACAGGCTTGATCTGTCCTTGCCAGCTGGAACCCACTGGGTTCTGGGGAACTGGCCTCTGGGATTCCGATCATGAATATCAGAGAGTATTAAGCAGATAATAGAGTGGGACTTGTAAATGACTATATACATTTTCATTTATCACCTGCCACAACCTCTATTACCCAATTTCTTCATTTTAGGACCCCAAATCTACTGGAGATGTTTTTTACCTGACACAATGTGCAGCAGTCAGAATCCAACAGCCACCGATATAAATTCCTCCACAGTTGATTTTATTTCCTTCCTTAATTGCCACCTGCCATGGGAACTGCCCCTGAAAAGACATTTATGTGGTCACTGCCATCCTACTAGACAGCAATACAAACAAGTGGCTGAAAGATATTTCCATTTCAAGACTCTCAGTCTCTTATAATTACATATCCATCCCCTCCCCCTTTTCAAACTTGGGCTGCTCCTGGGAAGTGACATGGTAACTTCTCATGCAGGTTTACCACTTTTGCCAGCTTTCCTCCTACGACTCGTTTCCGTCGAATGGGCATGTTCTTTTTAACTCCACAGGATAATTTAGGGAAAAGTGACTTTATCCATTTTCTTTCTTTAAGAAAGGAAGAGATTGTATCGTTATGATTTTGAAACCATAAGTGGGCAAACTTCCTGATTATCTACTGCAAAAACAGTAAAGTCACAGTTAGTATGAAGCAGACCAGATTCATTAGTAAGTTATTTTGGATGCTAAACTGTGCTGTTCACCTTGTTCAAAAACACGGGCTTAATATGAAAATTGGCTTGATTCTCTGAAGTTCTGCCTAAAGGTGGCGTAGCAGCAGAAAGAGGCTGCCTGGGGAGTTAAATGTGTACCAGCCTCTGGCAGGTGAGAGTTGCACATGCTCAGGCATTGCTGCTGTGACAATTCAGGATGGGGGTGACACCTCGGGATGGCGGTCACAGGGAGAACTCCAGCTTCTCACTTTCATGGGTTTTACTTTCTAGAGGCTGTTTATATGGGGCTCTTTTCAATAATGTTAATATTAACATTGATGAGGTTACTACTGAGTAAGGTCTATGTGTCAGACTCCAGGCTAAGTACCGTGTATATAGTTTATCTCATTTAGTGATCATATGAACTCTGAGAGGTGATGTGCCATGAACCCCTGGACAATCCAGGATCAGTCGGTGGGGAGGGGAGCTGTGTTTTTAGCCACGTGACATGTGATGATGTCTCCTTCCTCTGTGAGCCCTCAGGCGTGGCACATTTGTCACTGGGAAACATGGTAGAGCAAGACTTAAGACATGAATTTGCACGAGAATTCATGACAAAGGAAGAAAGTAAACATATAAGATGCTCTCCTTATTGTATCATGTCTTGAACATTTTTGCAAACTTGCTTCTTAGCCTCAAATGAGAAAGAAAAAAATAATATCATTCTCAATTACTATGAACATATAAGAAGGAGGTAGGTCCTCAAGGGAGAGATGTTGTGAACAAATGTTGATAGAATATTTTTTGGAGGGAGTCCCACCCATCCTAAGAACTGGGTTGGGTGAAGAATGTGATGATAAATTTTAAATTTCTGATTGGACTTTTGAAAGAGGAGAGACCTTATCTACTGAGGACTGTGAAACCAGCTTGGGTAGTATCTGAAAATTAATATTACCTTGAATAGAAAATAAAGGGCCTTTGTTGGAAATCCCTCGGACTGATATCTGTAACTTTGAGCTCTAAATCTTTCACTCATTGCCTGATTTTTTTTAAACCGTTGACTGATTTTGGGGCCTGACAATTAGAAGGGAGTCTTACATGAATTTCAGTTTTAAATCCCCCTAAAATAGGGAGATATTTCATTCCCAATTTGCATTTGAGCTTGTTACTCACCTAAGGTCACACTGCTAACAAACAACTGAGACAAGCCAGTCTGACTCAAAGCTCTTACTGATCACTGTCTTCCCAGGAACAGGGTACTTTAATTAAATTTGGCTGTAACTACCCAACTGGCCTGGATACAGATCTTCAGAGACCTTCTGTTATCATGGTTTAAAACGTTGCAAAAAAACAGGTTAATTCAATTACATGTATCTATTTCAAAACTTATGTCCTGGATCACATGTGAAATCTGATTGTTTTTTGACAAAACCGACCTGACAAAGCTCATAACAAGTAGAAAAACCATATGTGGGACTAGAGTATTGTTTTCATTTCAAAATTAGCCATATGTATGAACCCATTTTAAAAGCAGTTCTCAAGAAGCATTCATGTTTATTTTTCTTAAAAGTGGTAAGGAAAGAAGTAATTTTTTTAAAATTTAAATTAACATGGAAGGTTGAATACATGTATATTCATGTATGACTGAAAAATTGTGCTGTACACCAGAAATTGACGCAACATTGTAAACTGACTATAACTCAATAATAAAAAAAAGAAAGCCAAGAAAAATAACAATTTACTTAAGAGAAAAAAAATTGATATGTAAGGTAATTGTTACCTGAATCAATTATATCACCCATATGCATACATATTCACACATGTGCACATGACATTAAAATGCATATTTAACCAGTGAAGCACCAGTTAAAAAGAATAGTGTTAACTTACCTGCATCCATATCAGCAGTCAAAATTTCTGTTTCTTCTAGGAAAAAACAGACAAATGTTTAAAGTTATGTTTATAGTAAAAATTAAATCACTAAAATCATTTAAATTTTGATAATAATTTTCTGTCTCAAAACTTGTCCTACCACCTACAGACATAGAAAACAAACTTATGGTTTCAAAAGAGGAAAGGAGGGGAGGGATAAATTAGGAGTTTGGGATTAACAGATACAAACTACTATATATAAAATAGATAAACAACAAGGATTTACTGTATAATAGGGAACAATATTCAATATCTTGTAAAAACCTATAATGGAAAATAATATATAACTGAATCACTTTGCTGTACACCTGAAACTAACACAATATTATGAATCAACTATGTTTTGATTAAAAAAAACAAAAAAAAAAAACTAAAACAAAAAAATAAATAAAGAACTTGCTCTACCTCTAAAAAGGTCAGTACAAAATTCCAAAGCATATCATCTTATTTCTTTTCTGTAGCTAGGTAACCGTGAAGGCTCAAGATGAACTAGGTAGAAATTTTTCAGGCACAAACTAGAGGTGTCTGTTGGTAGAAGTGAATGGTGAGACTCATGGTGCTGCAGCTTTCTGCATTTAGAGCAGGCAAAATGCCCGGGTCAGAGAAGAAAAGCACTTTCAACTTCACATAAGGTTGGAAGCTGTCATCGACACTGACCAAAAGAGTCCTGAGCTGACACTGAAAAGGATCCTTTCATTTTGTGCATAATAAGGCACCTCTTAACAGGGGTCATGCAAACAAAGATATTTCATTGATTTCAGTATTAGGCAAGGTTAGTTTTAGGCATCTGGGATGCAGAAGTCAAAAGTTAAACAAAAACAAAAAGGTTCCTTTTCTTTTCTTCCTTAGACTTCTGTTTGAATTTATATGGGACGATTCCACCTTCACTCTGCTGTCCTAGAACATTTCAGTCACAGACAGGATCATAATTACTTTGACCTGGGGATCCAAACGTGAATTCCCACATGTTTTTCTGTCTGGAGGAGCATACAGCCCAGAGGGGCAATGTTACTTTGCTGCAGCAATCCTGTGTCTTATCCCTCGATTTCCCAAGTTCTTTTTGGGAGAGACATACATATGTCTGTTATGCCACATGCCTAGGTTATTTTCTGGGGCGGAGAGAGGCTCTACTCAGAGCTTTCACAAAAGCACCCACAGGAACCAAAGAGAAGACTTCATATTAACAAAGGAAGACAGGGAAAGTCCAGTGTAGCTGAGAGGTACCGACTATTAGAAGAGTAGCACAAAGCTCCAAAAGCCCAGACCATAAAAAAAACAATCAATGACTTTGATTAAATAAAGACAAAAGATTTATATTCAACAAAGCTCACTATGGCTAAAGTTAATAGATGGGTGACAGAATGGAAGAAGGTATTTGTATGTTTAAAACTGAAAATGGATTGATATCTAGAATGCAACAAGAAGACTGCAGCCTCCATATGAAATGAGGCAAAAGCTGTGAAATGGCAAAAAAACAGAAGAAAGGAAAGGAAGAGGAAACTCAGAAAGCTAGTATGCATATGAAGAGAAACTCAAAATCACTGTTTATACCAACAATTCAAATAAATAAACAGTACCATATCACTTGAAAGTAAGAGACTAGCAAAATTAGAAAGCTGGCGAGTACTAAATGTTGGTAGGATTGAGGAGAGCCCTCAGGTAGTGCTGGTGGAGGTGAGGATGGTACAGCTCAGCAGAAGGACAGGCAGGCACTAGCTTGTTAAATTAAGGAGATGCATGCCCCAAGACCCAACAATTCCTTGCCCACATGGATATCTCAAAGAAATCCTTCCACACAGCCTTAAGAAGAGAATATTCATTACAGCGTGACTGTGGGGTGAGGGTCCATTACTGAGAAGGTAGAGAGTAAACTGTGAAAGATGAACACCACAGTGTGTTTTATTATGCTGCAGTGAGAAGCAACAGATTAGATGGACACAGAGCAACATGGGCAGATCTTCAAAACATAATGCTTTTTTAAAAGATCAAAAGGAAATATAAGGTCTCCAATACAATACTAAGTGAACTAAAAGTGTACTCTCACGAGACAATACACACTGAATAAGAATGCATAGAAACAAAAAGACATACACATCAACTCACATTAAAATGGTTGCCTGTGGGGAATGGGAGTAAGGTATAGGGCTAAAGGAACATGAATAAAGCAAGAGAGGGCCCTTGCCTGGACCAGAGATAATCAGAAGTATCATTACCTCAACTCTTTGCACCTGATGTCCCAAGCCAGGAAGGAAGTAGAGGCAAGAGGTAGGGAAGGGGAAAAGGAATAAAGAAGAGGAAACAAACTAGAGAAAACAAAGAAACAAAAATCCCCAGCAGCCTTGGAAGGCAAAATGAAAGGTGGGAATACAAATAAACAGTTGAAATTAGTCACTTGGAACGTGGGTGAGCTTGAATATAGAAAAATCTCCCTCAGAATCCTAAGACATCCTGAGGGAGACCATGAACTTCTGGTGGTCATTTTATATGAATAACGAAGAAAAGGATGACCCCAAAGAGCTGGAAGGTTTGGGGACATCTGGCTTACAAAAGTAAATAAGAAGGCAGCTATCATGAAAAGATGTCATCTTTCCTCTGGTGGCAGTTTCTTCAGGAATCGCCTTAGTTTTGAGGACAAAGTAAAGCGAGAGAAGGGTGTATGGCAGAGGTGCAGGGAATGTACCTTTCGTGGCTTTTTGGTTAGCCAGCTGTGGGTCGCGAGAGTGAGAATGAAAGTTTACCACACCGGGCAGAGAGGCCTCTGTGCCTAAATGAATGTGAAAACTGGCCACATCATCCTCAGTTACTAGTTACCTCAGACTATAAGGTGACAGCAGTACCTGTGTTTTGTTTCAACTCTGCAATATCCCAAGAACTTAACAAAATGTTTACCTTGATCTGCATGTAGAAGGTGTGAAAAAACAAAACCCCAAACAAAATATTTACCACAGCAAAGGATAATTTTTATTTGAGAAAAATACCTATCATAGCAACATATTATACGTTTATCATAAAAGCTATAATGCCTTATTCTTGTTTTCAATTCTATAATATAAATTTAATGTTATAAAAATAGATTTACCTTTAATTTCAGGATGTTCAGTTCCTAAAAAGAAAATGAAAAACTCACTGTAGCAAAGAGATCATTTTCACTCAAATAAAAGATAAATCAATCAATAATATTTTGGATAGTATAATGACTTAAATTAGTACTTACAAAAAGATAAAAGGGAGCCATAGTACACCATCTTACTTTGATTTTTAATACTGATTAACAAATGTTTCATCTTATATTTAAACACACACCAATTTCACCACAGCAAGGAACTCATTTTAACTTGGGTTTTAAAAAGAGATTCACATTTTAGATATATTTGAACACATACCCAATGGCAAATTTACTATTACTATGCCATAACACAAAATTTATTTACTCTTTTAACTTATAATAATAAAAAGTGAGCTAATAAGGGATAAATGAAATTAAGATATACTCCAAACTTCCCTTGGTTTAGTGATCCTGATCTGTCCACCGAAAAGGAGAGATCAATGAATATATTAATATATTTATTTTACATCTCTGCTCTCACTTGCTGTTTCTTAGAGAGGGGAATATTAGAATCGTTACTAAAATACAAGGCAGAGCTCAATCTAAAGATAGGTAAAGTGAAGTAACAATGACAGTTGACTAAACGCATTTTTGATATGCATTCGAGAAATTAATAATAAAAGTAATCTTTATGTTACAGTTACTCCCTTGCAGTAGGATTTTTTTTCTGATAAACTAACAACTTCTTTGATCTTAAACTTCAGAGTTTTAAATCACAAGGAGGAGAAGGAGGGAGAGAGGAGGGAAGAGGAGGAGAAAGAAGAGAAGAAACCCCAAGTATTATTATACTGAAGAAGTGACATCAAACTGTAGAGCTTCCGAGAAAGACAAATACTGTATGATCTCACTTATATATGGAATCTAAAAAACCCAAACTCATAGGAAAAAAAGGTCAGATTTGTGGTTACCAGAGACAGGGACCAGGGAATGGGGAACTGGGTGATGGCAGTCAAAAGGCACAAACTTGCAGTTGTAAGATAAACAAGTACCGAGGATGGAATGCACAGCATGGGGACTATGGTTAACGCTGCTCTGAGGTATATCTGAAAGTTGCTTAGAGAGTAAATCCTAAAGGTTCTCATCACAGAGAAAAAATATTTTGTAACTACATGAGGTGATAAATATTAACTAAACTTATTGTGGTAATAACCTTGAGGTATATGTTGTGTCAAGTCCATGTTTACATCTTAAACCTGTACAGTGTTGTATGTCAATTACATCTCAATGAAAGTGGGAGTGAAGGAAGCTGTCAAGTTTCATAGGCAAAAGTCATGGTTTACTGTCCTCCTCCCTGAAATATTTGTCAAAATTTCTTTCTCTCCTCTCTTCACTACATTTAACAAACATAAAAGGATTTTGCTCAACTGCTTCATACTCTTCAAAAGAAATGATGTAATTTGAAATCCTAAAAAGTGTGTTTTTTAAGAAGAGATATCAATGGAAAATTAAACAAAATTTCTTTAAAGTCAAATACTTGGTATACTAAGCAATTATACGTGTATAATTAATATCAATGAACTTATCTATACATATCTTCAACATTTATTTAACACCTGTGTGGAAGGCACTTTACCAAGGACATTTGGAATGTAAAAATAGATTCTGTTTTCAAGATGTTTACTTTTGAGAAAGGAAGGTGAGACAAGCACAAAAATTCACCGTAAACTGTTATCAGTCATTCAGTAGTGTCCTGACACGGGACTTTAGCACTGCACAAGAGGCTGTGGTATCACTACCAACCTGTGCTCTGTGTCAATGCTTAAAATCACCCATGGTGGGAGTAATTCACACCACAGAAATTATCCAAAGCTACATACAAATCAGGGATTCCTTGTCCCTCTTCAAAGCCAATTGTTAAACAATTATCAGCCCAGCACAGGATAGGGTGCACCAGTGAGGTGGGTATGAATACACCCACTCCTCTGGCAGCCTTCCCCATCTCTGAAGAAAGCAGCAACATCCTTTCAATTCTCAGGCCAAAACCCCCAGAGTCATCTTTGACTGCTCGTTTGTTCTCATACGCGCATCCAGTCTATCAGCAATTTTTTTTGGCTCTAGTTTCCAAATACAGCCAGGATCTGACTGCTACTTGTCATTTCCATTCCTCCCAGCTTATCCTAGTCACTATCATCTCTTCCCTGGATATCTTATTGCAGTAGCTTCCTGGCTGGTCGCCTGCTTCTCCCCTCGCCCACATACAGCTTGTTCCCTCCCCAGCAGCCAGAGTTATCTTGATTTAAAACGAAAGTCAGATCCGTCAATCCTCTGCTCAAAGTCCTCATTTCATTCACTAACAGGTCTCGCTTGATCTGCCCTCATCTCCCCCACCCAACCTCCTCTCCAGCCTCTCCTACTGCTTGTCCTTTATCTTTCACTACCCCCACCTCTAACCCCAGCCACACTAGCCTCCTGGCTGCTTATTCAGCAAACACACTGGGACGCTCCTGCCTGAGGAACAGTGCCCTGGTTGTTGCCTCTGCCTAGAACACTCTTGCGCAGACATTCATGTGGCAGGCTCCACCATTCCCTTCAGCTCTTTACCCAAAAGTAACCTCAGCCAGTGAGCCTTCCCAGGCCACCTCATCTCAAATTTCAGAACTTACCCTCCTCCAGAGGGGTAATTTGTACCTTCCTTTCTTGTTTTGTTTTTTCTTAGTACTTATTATTTTACTGGATATTTTACTTATTTCTCTTATTTATTCTCTCTCTTCCCCTACTAGAATGTAAGATCTATGAAGGGGCAGGGTTTGAAATGTTATTCACTATTGTAACCCCAGCACCTAGAGCAGGACCTGGCACAAATAGTAATAACTTAATAAATACTTATTGAGTAGATGAATGAATGTAATAAATTAGGGAGATTTTTTTCCTTCAGAAAGCATTGATAAGAAGTCAGTCTGTGTGGAACACAGTAGGTACTTAGTAAATATTTTTCACCTTTGGAGGTTTTCCAATGAGCACCAAAAAGCAAAAAGCACCAACTCACTTACGAAATAATTAAATATCATTCTGCCTTTCTATGATGAACTGCATTTCATGGAAACAAAATACTTCTTCTCTATAGAATTCAGTTAATAAATGCAGAAGAAATGTTGAATTAAAAATTGCCATTTTACAGTCTCTATTGACAAACTGGATCCAGGCAACAATTACAAAGCCTCCTAAAACCCCTGGATCAAATAATGGAAAAAAGTAACCACAAAACTTTAAATTACCTTCACAACCAATTTCATCTTCTCCTGTAATGCAGTCCACCTCACCATTGCACTTATACTGCTTTGGAATACAAACACCTGATTTACAGAAAAAACCTTCATCTCGGCACCCTATGAAAACATAATCAGAAGAGAGGTTTTTTTTTTTTTCCAGTACTTAAAAAAAATTCATTAATTTACTTTGGGGTGGAAGTAATTAAGTTTTTATTACTATTTTTTTTTAATGGAGGTCCTGGGGATTGAACTCAGGGCCTTGTGCATGCTAGAAACACACACTACCATTAAACTTTATCCTCCCTCTTTTTTCATCCTTAAAATTGAACGAGGTGGGAGGGTATAGTTCAGTGGTAGAGTGTGTGCCTAAGATGCATGAGGTCATGGGTTCAATCCCCAGTACCTCCACCAAAAGTAGTAAATAAATAGATAAACCTAATTATCCCCACCCCCCCAAATTTTTAAATAAAATTTTAAAAAGTTAAAAAAAATTGAATGAGATGGAATCTTATTTCAATGGTAAAGTTGTTTCTACTTTCTTAGTCAGAAGAATGCATTTGTGGGTTTAAAGGCTGGATTCATCTCTACCTTTACAGCACAGCTCATCACTCTGGTCTCCACAGTCATTGACACCATTACAGGCCTTCTTTTGAGGAATGTATTTCCCATTCACACATTGAAAGGAGTCTGTTGGAGAAACTGTAAAGGAGAAATTATCTTGGTGAAATTTATTTGTGGAATTGCGGGTGACATCTTTATCATGTTTGGAATAAAGGGGGCATTAAAAAAAAGTCAGGCAGAAATGAAAGATGATATAAAATGCATTGGTGGTAACATTAACATAGCATATATGGTTAATAAGGAAAAGAAATGCCAAAGCTGACTTATGCAGGCCTTTTTATAATCTCTGAAGACCAGCACTTATTGTGGAGGACTGGCTGAGATTGGGGGAGGGGATTCAGGAATCAGAAGCCCTTGGTGTTCACTCATTCCTTTCATGCTACTGCACTAGTACCACCCCCCCCCCCATGACTTACTTGGGCAGTGCCATTTACATATTAATAGTACTTATTTTTAGCACCAAAATAGGCTTTGGCCTTTAACACTATGTGTATGGCTAAAATACTCCAATGTCAGGATGGAGGAGAAAAGTGACAGTGACCACCTGGCAACTGAGGCACAGATGTGGTCACTTCAACTTGTTAAAGGAAGGTGTGTTGACTGGACCTCTCAAAGGAGATGCAGAGTTTCTTCTAATGTTTAATTTGTGTTTGCTGTATCAACTTTGATTCAGATGTTCAAGGAAGCAATGGGGAGTCAAGCAACTTTACTACCCAAATAGGAACCTGCATAGAAGTAATATTTGAATGGCAAAAGGGTACAGTAGGGGGAAAGCACCAATTTTGGTTCTAAAACCCAAAATAGGATTTTGCCTTCATGTGCAACTGGCAACAGGATATCTGTCATTTGTTTGTTTACTATAGATTTGGGGTGAAATAAACAACCTTGAAGGAAGGGAAAATATCAGGCAAGTACTCCACTAACCAGCATCCTCTGTGTAACACACCACACCAGCCAAACCCTCGGAACTGCTGGTTTTTCTCTTAGTAAAAGTACATTCAGCCAAACTGGTCTCTAATCCCCGACAGCGCACGTGTAGACATTCAGTGGAATTTATAGCAAGATCTCTTCTTTGAGTATAAAGAGCACCTCTGCAATCAAATATATGAAACATTAGGGTAGAAAAATTAGTACTTTGCATTTATAACCTTACTGTGGGAAGTAAGGGACTAGAGTAATTTCCTCTCATTTTCTATATTTGAGTGATAGATTGGGCAAGATGATTAAATTATCTGAGCTTCAATATCTTCAATATCTACAAAGGGAATGTAACAATCTCACCGAGTTTTGTAACGACTAACTAAAACAATCCATTTAAATGGACTGGCCAAAGTTCAAGGCACGGCAAGCACCCACAAATACTGGTTTCCTCTCCTCTGTTTCCTGTTAAGGAGGAATGCTTCTTCCAGACTCCTGATTCCTTTCCAACCAGAGATGTGTCATTCTTGGCCTCAACTTCTCTTCTCTAGGAAAGGGGGTGGATTAATTTGATCAGGGAATTTTGGAAATATAAATCAGCCAAGGTCAGCCCAGCACTTCCATTTTTTCCTTTTGGGGTCTTTTCCACCTGCCCCATGCAATAAGTCTTACCTGGTTGGCCCCATCATTACCTGGGATCTGGGAGATTAAGTTGGTTTAATTTTAGCACGTTCATTCTGCTTTTACACTAAGCTACATCCTCAATTCAGTCTTCACAGTACAAAGGTACTATTTTGACATCGATATGTCATTGCTTGGACTTCTTAGTTTGTTCAGAATTTGTGTAGGTAAGAGGCTAGCTACCTCAATGACCCAATATCCTAGAGACAATGAGTTACACTGAGCTATTCTTCCAGAACATTCAATTCTTTCTTGTTTTTCTCTAGAAGTTAATGAGGAAAACGGCTTAAAAATAAAAAGTTGAGCAAAGATGCATCACGCAAAAGTAAGCAAAAATAAAGCAGTAATGGCAATATAAATATCAGATAAATTACAATGAAAGGAAACAAGAGAGCAATTAAAGGGAACAAAGAGTTTCAGATCTATAATGTGGATACAGTAGTCATGAAACTGTCAGACCGCATCAAAATATGAGAACAAATGAGAGCTATTTGGGGAAATCTGACAGGCGAATAATCTGAAAGACTTCTTAACCTACAACTATCTAAAAGTACTAGATAAATGCCCTCAACGAGCTCTTATGGAATTAAGGGAAATACCCACTGGCTAAAATCAGAGAATTCTGTCCATGAGTTTATAGAAAATATGATCAGAGCAAAATCAAAGAGTGAGAGAGTTTGCCATTAGGTTGAATCATAGGTTGTAAGTCAGAAATGGTGGAAAATCAGAAATATCCTATGGCTCAACTTAATGATAAAAGACTCACTGATGAACTACTAGCAGATGTGGTTTAGGAAGAAGAAAACTGAATCCAGAATGAAGCAGTGAGACGTAAGAAGAAACAACAAACCAAGAAGTTGGTAAACATGAGGTACATCTGGGTAAGCACTGACCGAACAGCAGTAATGGTAATGGCTTATTACATAATGATATCACTTAACTTCAGGGATAATATAAGGTGGAACAAAATACTGAAAACTTAATAGTGTAATGACTTTCTTTGTATTATTCCTGAAGAGGGCAAGGACTGCCTAAGTCAAGAATTCATGGTATAAATGTAAAGATAGCCATTAAAAGAATAGAAATAGAATGTATATGATTTTCAAACAAGTGGAAGAAGAAAAGGGAGATAATTTTAAAAAACAACAGCAGCTTTATTAACCTAGTAGAAGTTGGACAAGGAAGAAACAGGAGCACAGAAAAAGCAGGGTAAATCATAAGCCCAAAATAAGATAGAAAAAATAAACTCAACAGTGTAAATAATCATAATAATGTAAACGGACTAAACTCTTCAGAGAGTTATTGTCATACTGGATTTAAAAAAAAATAGATATATGCTGTTAATAAAGGACACACTTACAAGATAGACACAGAAAGCTTGTAAGTAAATAAATGGGAAAATATTTGAACAAAGAAGTTAACAGGCTTGCTTATTCTAATGGATAACATATTTATTATACAGAACCCTGCACATGAAACATTTAAAATATATTCAGCACAAAACAAATCTTAACAAACATTTAAACAGTTATCATCATTTGGACACATTCTCTCACCACAATGCAATTAAATAGGAAATTATAACAAGGAGCTAACCAAATGCAAACTAACAAGTTCATTAGGAAAGTAAAAAAAAAAAAACAAAAAAAACAAAAAAAAACTTCTACGTTACCCATCGGTCAAAGAAGAAATTACACTGAAAATTAGAAAATATTTTGAACTGAGAAACAAATAAAATACCCACTTATGGAGGGTTATGGCATGCAGATGAAGCATTACCTAGAGGAAAATCTGTACCTTAAATGCTTATATTTGAAAATAAGGAAAATGGAAAATTGGTAAGTTAGGCATTTAACTCAAGGAATTAGAAAAAAAAATAGAGAAGAGAGAAAGAGCCAAAGATAAGAGCAAAAGTTGAAAATAAAGAAACAAGAGACAATTTATAAATATAAAAATCAAAAACACTAATCAAATAGACAAATCTCTGCAAGATCAATCAAGAAAAAAGAGAGAAGGCATATATAAACAATATTAGGTATGAAGAAGTGGACCTAATCATAGATGAGTAGAAATAGAGAGTAATGAACATATTTGCAACTGTCTGGATCAGCAAAGCACTGGCATCCAGATATCTGAGCAAACCTCCAGGTGCTCTGTGCTCAGCAGAGCTCTAAGTGCTAGTCATGAACACATTTCACCCTCATGACAACGACACACGGCAGGTTGTTAACGTTCTCACTTTACAGCTGAGGAAGTTGAAGCACCGAAAGATGGGGTCATCAAAAAAACAAATAGTTGTAACAATAAAATCAACCCTGGGAAAAGTCAGTGACACAAGCACTCACTGTTGAAATCCGAGGTAGAAGCAGGCCACGTTGGCCTCCGTAATGCTCCAGCTTGTTCCACATACAAACATCTTCTCATCTCGGTCTGCAAGTTTTACTTCAATGGCTCCCTCTGAATCTGTTTTTCCATACTTCAAGGAAACACTAAATTGTCCTAAAATAAAAAAACAAAGAATGAGCAATGTTCAGGCATTTTCTCCTCTTGATTAAAAGCCTTTAAAGTAATAGAATACATAATTTCAAATTAACTTTGAACACCATGAAGATTTTGAAAAATAATGGTAAGCAATCATTTTATGAGGGCTTATTATGTCTCAATAGCTGTGCTACTCAGGTCAACCCTCTGAAGATTAGGCTAGTATTTATCCTCATTTTTACACACGAGGAATCTAAATTTGTCCATTTGTTACACATGAGAAGTTACTCACTCAAGTGGTGAAGCCAGGAATCTGAACCTATTATATTTGGAACTTACCCAAAGTCTGGATAAGTCAGCAAAACAAATAATGAAAATGTAAGAAAGGCTTATGTATTCTCATAGATTTAAGGCGTTTAATGCCTCAAGAGAACAAAAGTCTGACACTGACAAAATAATCTCCACTATTGCTTTCCTCCTCTCCAACAGGTAAGAGAGATGGGCTCAGAGGTCTTTCTTCCTGCTGTTCATAGTACCTGAACATCTTAATTCAGCAACATAAAAATATTTAGGCTACTGTGTGCTGGTGTATGTCATGGTACACTTACAAAGAATGTTTTAAACATTCTTCTGTAAATTCACAAAGTGTCTGTGACCACTGGTAGTGGAAGATGATGAGCTTGAGGTGTGCTGTCATAGCTAAAATTTCATGAGCACTTTCTGTATCCTGTTTACAGCACTTTATATTCATCATTTTAGTTAATTTTCACAAGAGTCTTGTGAGCTAGGAACTATTATTACTCACGTTTTACAGATGTGGAAACTGTGTTCCAGACAGGTCACATAGCTAGTCAATAATCCAGGTGGGGCTTGGAGGGGCTTGTAAGCAAATCTGACTGACAGTGAGACCCTTAATCTTAACCACTCCGCTAATCCACATATGAGGGTCCCAGCCTCCTCTCTACGTTAGGTACCTGGATGGAGTGTTGAGAAGCTCTGATCTGATGTGCTGAGTTTGCTAGGTTAGGGTATGTCCTAGGTCAGCAGTGGCCTGAGCTAAACCTTGGATCAGGGCCAGTGGGGCTGGGGCTTGGGAGAGGGGTAGCAGCTGGTGGGATGGATGCTGGAAGAAATCATGGGGACCGGGGGTCAAAGGGATTCCACATCAGTACCAATCTCATACAAAGCCTTTTTCGCTGGATTCTGAACCAGCTCAATAGCTTGTGAATAATCCCTTCAGCCAAGCAGAAGTGAGAATGGGTATAATTCTGCAGGATCGGGCAGCAGAGAGTGACAATGGCATTGAGGGAAAGACCAGCCTCAGGGCCTCATGCTCTGGAATCAAGGGCTGGCTAAATTCTGGTGATCCCAAATTCCTCTAGTTATCACCCAATTACTCCTGAGGGTCTAGGGAAGAATTTTGAGTTATCATAACATTTCACGGGAAAAGTATCTTCTAATAGGAAGTATCACACACAATTACTTTCTGTCATAGAGTAAACTAGGCTTTTCCTACCTTCACCTGTGCATGGTCCACTTTTTAAAAACTTTGCCTCTGGACGAAGACATTCAAAACTCTTTTGGTGACAGTAAGTTGGGTAGCTTTTCCCGTTGGTTGAACACACCCTAGTACCATTCTTTGGGCACTGATAAGGAATTTTACAGGTACAGGTCCCCTCGATGCATTTCTGCCATGGTTGGCAGAAGACTTTATTACAGGAGAGATGCGTGTATTTTTCAGTTAAGCACTTTTTGTCCACAAGATCCTCTTGAGATATGCCTGATGTCAAAGAGGGCTATAAAGCACAAGATAAACATTAACTTAGCAAAAAAATAAAATCTTCTTTTTGAAGACGAAGACATGAAGGAAAGGAACAAAACAGGCTCACCTAACCTGCATAGATGAGGGTGATGTGGTCTGGTGATTTTTAGAATCAGACAAACCTGGCTTCTAGTCCCAACTTGGGCACTTACAGTTATATGGCCTTGAGCAAGTTACTTACCTTCATGAAACCTGAGTTTCCTCATCTGTAAATGGGGATATTATCTTCTGTTTTGCAAGGTTATTGCAAGATCAGAAATAAAACGTGTATAACGGTTGGCAGGTACTAGGGATGAAATCAGTGGCAGCTGTTATTATCCTAAAGCCAACATAAAATTCTGCCTTTGAAGAAATCAGAGAATCTCATCAATCACGTTAGGGGGTTGCAAATTTGGTGCTAATTACAGTCTCATGGAATGAACTGATGCATGGAATTGATTAATTCTATTAAAATGCAAAACTATTTGCTAAATTCCTACTCTGTGAAAAATCCTGCTAAGATGAACATGACATGGGCTCTACCTTCCATGGGCCTGATATCTAGACAGTAAGACAGAAACACACATAATAACTGGAGCACAAGGCAGACGGTGGCAAATGATAAAACAATCGTACAAATAAGACACAGTGCCCTTGGGGAACCAGAGTGTGAGACAGTAAGTCTTTCCAGGGGCATTTTAAAAGGCTTCATGGAGGATGGAGCATTTGAGCAAGTCAAGGAAGGTGCTAGCAGAGGGTTGGTGCTAGCAAAACAGGAGAGATGGTGCCAAATTTATTTAGGGAACGTGAGCAGTCCCAACCGATGGTCATACAGGCTTGTGTGTGCTTCCAATGGGGTTGTCACTGATCAGGAAACGGGAGAAAGGCAGCAGGAGTGGAACAAGAGAACGATTTGGAAGGACCAAGAAAAAGCAGTTAGGAGGAAAAGCAATTAGGATTGGACAATTTAACACAAGTAGGAGTTGACGGTGGTTTTAGGTTTTGAGGCTGCATGACTGTAAGGGTGTAAAATGCCATTAATCAATACAGATATTAAGGTAAGGTAGAGCATTAGGAGTTTGGTTTCGGACCCATTGATTCTGAGGCACCTAAAGGATGTGCCTCTGGAGATATTCTGTAGGAGGAAACGTGTGACTGAAGCTTGGAAGACAGATCATTAGCCCAGTTATCAGTTTATTCAGTGAATGAGTTAGTAAGCACCACTGTGTGCCAGGGAACAGCCTAAGGCTAGGATCAGAGGAAGAAAAGTCCCTGCCTAAGGAGCACAACGACCAGAAGAGAGACAGCTAAGCCTGATGAGTTCCCTGGTACAAATGGGCCAGGGATGCCTTTAGGACAGTGTTCTGGGTCCCTGGCCTGCCTAGGATGCTTGGGAACATCTCCAAGAGGAGGAGTCTGGGTAGAGCTGATGGCTCTTCTGAGGCCACTGAGGAGTCGTCAGCTGGCAGAGGTTGGGGAGTGGGCACTCCAGGCAGGACCGCAGGAAGGAGAACAGCAAGAAGAGTACGTTTGAGGCTGGAGAACAGAGTAAGAAGGTAGTGGTGGGGGTAAGGGAGCAGGTCTGAAGGGAGCCACTGAGAGACTGTAAGCAGGGAAGCAAATTTGCATTTAAGGAAGATCTTTCTAGAGATCAGATCAGACCGTTAGGCAGGCAGGAGTCCAATTAGACCTGCAGGAATCCAGAGGAAATACAATGAGGGCTGGGAACAGGCCAGTTGGGTGAAAAGCCAGTTGTGGAAAGCCAATGCTCTCTCTCTATCCCCTAGACACTCCCTTTGGAGGATGGGTGTCCTTTCTTCCAGTTTCCCTAGACCCCCCAGCAATAAGAACCCCTATCTTTTCTCAGGGACCCCTAGCTGTAGTAACAGTAAGCTAGGGCAGAAATGAATTGAACAATCTCTAAGTGCTGTGATGAAGACAAATAAAAATCAGTCAATAAAAAACCACATACAAATCTGTGAAAGCTGTGAAATTCATTCTATCCAACATGCTTTTCAGTAAACTTTATTAAATAGCCATAGAAACAAGGAAATTTGACACATTTGTCATTAACTACACTAGGTACACACTAATCTAGAATGAAATACACCAGTTACATACTTTTCATAGTTTCATGTGCCTCTTTTGTAGCACTTATTAGAGCTGAAAATTTTGTAATTTCTTAGCTCCTGTATCTTCCACTGACAAAGTTAAAGTGCCCTGACATCTTGGATTGTCACCCTTTTACATACCACCTTTCTCTTGAAAGAGTGATATTCTAATTGGGTGCAAGCAGAAAACAACTTGATTCTTTCCCACCTTGATCCCTTTCTGAGGTGTTATTTTTCCTTGATCTTTAGATAAAAACTGGGGAAATGTCATTAACTTTTCAGGCACATTTAGATTAAAGCAAAAACAAAAAATTAAGACTTTTGGTCCCAGGAACAGTCATGCAACAGCAATTACAGTGTCCAGTCCTGTTCAATCACTTAGATTCTGACCTTCACTCCAGGCGACAGCTTCCTCCCAGCTCGGACTCACTTCAGGGGTCTGGTGGGCCTGGTGTTATTCATTGAATGAATGGTGACTCCCCCCCCCCCCAAAAAAAACCCAACAAGACAGAACAGAGGAGAATTTTACATTTTAGGAGCTGAAGATGTGGAACAAGCAAGAGAGACTTAGCTTTTCAGCCAGAGTGGTGTTGCTCGTGTGTCTAATGCTGCAAAGAGCTTCAGAGGATGAAGGCTGAAAAAAAGGTCACTGAATTTGATGAACAAAGGTCACTGGGATCCTTTGAAGAAGTAGTTTTAGATGAACGTCAGAGGCAGAAACCAGACTTTGGTGAGTTGAGGCCAGAATGGGAAGTGGAAAAATGGAAACAGAAGTACAGTTAACTCTTTTGACTGGTCTTGTGCTTAGACATGGAGACTAAACACAGGCTTTAAAAAAATTTCTGCTCCCTCTCCAAGCCCCATTAAGATAAGAATAAAAGAATTTTTTAAAAAGGCATAGCCAATAAGGCCAAAGAGAATGCGGAAAGGATTACAGACTAGAGATGTTATCAAAATGTTGGAAGCTGGAAAGCAGACATGCTGGTAGTAATAGATTTAGCAGACTAGAGAGAATGGTAACCCAAGCCAAATGAGGGAAGTCCAGAAGAATAAAGCAAATTCACCCCCAGAGAACCCCATAAAAGCTTAGGAATTGAGGCACCACCTACTTCTGAAGAAGATGGAGTGGCTAAAAAAATAGATAGAAGCAAGAGTGACATAAAGTATTTTACATTACAGGCAAGGATAATTGGCTAGTGATCTTATCTGACTGTGACCAATATCTATGCCCAACCAATTGTTAAATATTTTTAATACCACCATGGTTTTAAGCCTTATGGTATTATTTGCCTTTGTAAAATATATACAAGAATTAATTTTAAAATATTTTATTTTATTTTATTTGAGGTAGGGAGGTAACTAGGTTTATTTACTTATTTATTTTAATGGAGATACAGGGGATTGAACCCAGAGTCTTGTGCATGCAAAGTACATGCTCTACCACTGAGCTACACATGAATTAATTTAATAAAAAATAATTAAATGGAAAAGGATGTCATCATATTTTCAGTACAGAAAAGATTGTGTTAGGCTTTGAAGGAGAAAAAGTGGATAGGATAGTATCATAAAGGGACATAGTAAAGAGAGATTTTTGCTGTTAGGATAGGAGAGATTTCATCATGATTGGAGGCTAAGGTCAGGAATCTAACAGAATGGGAAAGACTGAAACTTTAAGAAAGAAGGAACAAATTGTTGAAACAAGGTTGAGGAGGGGCTAGGAGAAGGTGTAATCAGAGCATGGTGGAAACAATTCTCTTAGAAATTCAGCAGTTTTCTATTTCTATAAATTCTTACCGTAAGTTGGAATCAACTTTATGATACTACTACCATTTAAAGTTTCAGGTTGATGGTACTGGCTAATACCAACACAGTGGTTGCTGCTTATGACAATAGCCAAAGGGAAGTTAGAAAATTACCAAGGGGCAACAGCTAGAAACAGTCACAGTAAGGTTTATCCACTGTGTGAAACATGATGGCAATAGGCTTTAACTGTAAAGGACTGGGTACGTCACATTTGTCCATGGATTCTCAACATCTAGAGCCCTGGGCTGATGATCCTTCAGGAAGTTATTAAATGGGTTGGTAAATGCATTTGTACACCAGTCTTTACCATGGAGAGAATATGAACTCTGCCTCATACATTTACGTAAACCTATAGGGAGGCTGTTAAGATTAATCAGAAGCAAAATTATTTAAATCATCACTGAAATTATATTAACTTTGTTCCCTCCTTCCTTCCTACAATTACAGAGTCTACTAAAAGTAGACATAACTACTATTATGTGTGTTGTTGATGGTGTAAGGTGGGGTGGTGGATCTAAGTATTTTTTTTAATGTTTATCTTTGTGGTAGATGTTAATACCATTTACTAAAGTCTTATTTAACTCTACTTCCAAGCAAATGGGAAGACTGCATTTCCTTCTTGTGGTTGGACACGGTGATGAGTTAATTTGATCAATGAAATGTGAGCTGAAGTAACATATATTGGTTTCAGGTAGAAACATTTAATTGCCAGTGCTCAACAATGCAACTTGCTCTTGCCCTGCCATGATGATCATGGGAGCAAGTGTTGCAGAGAGATCATAGAATCAAAGCAGCCTAGTATGCTGGGCCAACACAGGGAGGACGTGTTCACTGGAGAGTCACCCAGATCCACAGTGGACTTTGCATAAGCAAAAATTAACTTTTCTTGTGTCAAGCCACTGAGATTTTGGGATTGGTTCTTATTGCTGCATAGCCAATACTGACTGATACAAGTAGTTGTCTAGATACAGTCTTTAAAACCCAAAGCCTTGAGAACCACTTGTCTAGGAGGAGTGGGACCTGAATCATTCCGTGTGTAAGCTATGCATCAACTGATGGAGGCATGCTTAAGTTTTTCTTTTTTTTTTCATTTTTATTGAGCTTGTAATTACAAGCTGGAAAAGAAGACTATCAAATACCTGGATAAGTATTTCCAACTGTGCCCTAGACCATCTGCATGACCCATCTGAGGTGCAGCATGTTACAAATGCAGACTCTTGGACCCACACAACAGAACCTCTGAATCAGAATCTCTGAGGGAAAACCCTGGCATCTGTACTTTAAATAAGCACCATAAAGATTCTTATGCTCCCCAAAGACTGAGAACCACTCCTATTGACCAGTAATTTTCAAAGTGGATTACATAAACCCCAGGGGTGTGAAGATAATCCAATGGGTAAAATAATAGAAATTATGTTCATTTGTATGTTTTATTGAAAAAGTAAGAAGAAATTAATCTTACTAATATTTAAATATGGATTGGCAGTTGTGTCTACTCTCATAGAATATTCATTCAATATTTATTGAGAGCCTACAATGTGCCAGGCACTGTTCTAGGTCCTGGGATACACTAGTGAACAGCATGAAGTCATAGAGCTTACATTTTTAGTAGAGGAAAAACAGACAAAAATGAATAAATACATAGTATGACATAAAATGACAAGTGCTCTACAGGGTAAGAGAGGTGGAGGTTGTGGAGAGTGAGGGGGATGATTGCTATTTTGCATAGGGTTGTCAGGAAAGACTCTGGGGAAAGGTTCCCTTGGAGCAGGGACCTGAAGGGGAGTGAGCAAGCCACATAGGTCTCTAGAGGAGAAATGTCATGGTCAGAGGTAACAGCCAGGGCAAAAGCTGTGGGGTAGAAGCACATGTGGTATGCTCTTGGTCCAGGGGGTTGGTGTGGTTGGAGGGGAGTTAATGGCTGAAGGGAGAACAGGAGGAGATGAGGCCAGAGAATTGGAGGGATGTGTGATCAGCAGGTAGGACCTTGTAGGCTACTGGAAAGACTTCAGCTTATTCTCTGAATGCAGTATAAAACCACTAGAGGGTGTGAGCCCTCCAACATTTAGAGGTGTGGCAGATGATGAAGAACTAGTCAAGGAGATGAGAAGGGGTCAGTAAAAGACAAATAGAAACCGGTGGCACAGAGGCAGAGAGAAGGAAGGAGTGATTAGCAGCTGTGTGATATTTCTCCAGTAAAATGGTGATCTTGACAAATGTTATTTTGGTAGAATGGTGGGAACTCAAGCCTGACCGGGCTCAAGAAAGAATGGAAAAAGAGAAATTGAGCAAAGCAGTTAAAAAAAAAAAAAAGAATTTAGATGTAAAGGGATACAAAAATGGGAGGGAAATATGCGGTCAAGAGAAGGTTTTTGTTTTAAGATAGACAATCATGAACGTGTGCTTGACTAAGGGATATTATGGATTATATGATCCAGTTTTAGTGGAAATAATCTTTGCAAATGGACAAATGGTTTAGATATACATATACTGAAATGATGCTGGATTGAAAATAATGCCAAAATGTAACACCAATGAACAAAAAAATGGCAGAGTCCACACTTCTAGCCACAGTAGAAGCTGTTCATTGGCCACATCATGGGGTTAAAAACAATGGAAAGCTAATCAGTATGACAAGAAGTCAGCCCTGTCTCCAATCAGTAATATTAAAAAGACTAATTGAAATATAGATTTCTATCTCATATCGTTATTGAATTGAACCTATCCCCATATGTTTATTGTGTATGTTGCTCTTTGTGAAGTGTCTTTTCCAGCTAATATGACATTCAAATCAAATGAAAAATTTGAAAAGTAGTAACATTATTTCATTAAAGATTAATGGTGAAAATTATTAAAATATTATTTGCTTAAAATTTTGTTTTTTAAGGTGTATTTATTTGTACAGCAGTGTATATGTTATTTATAAATAAATATATTCACATATACTGGGGCACATGTGCAAAAATTTTTAGCAATTACTACTATAGCCTAGTCATCTACAAAACATAATTCACCTCCTTTAGTTGCTGTTTCTTTGTGTAGACAGGCTTTTTTAAAAAAAAAATTCTTTCCTTGGTATTTGTGATGTTGTAGCAATTATTTTGATGTAAACTTTGTTTTTTTATTCTAGACAGGACTACAATGAAGACATTTTAGATGGACTGACTATACAAAATCAATAAGAAATATAACAATTTCCTATTCCATCCCAGTATACAGCATATAGTTTTACCTCTGGATTCTTTGCTATCTTCATTTTTTCTACTCTTCTATAATTAACCTATAAACAACAACAACAAAAGAATGATCAACTATCACCAAAGAGAGCAAAAGTCAACCACTTTCTCCTTCTACTACTTTTTGTAAAAAAGTAGAAAGTTTCCCTTCTACTGCTAACTAGCTGTGTGATCTTGGGTAAATGACTCTACCTTTTTTTATTCTGTTTCTTCTACGAATTGTGGAGAATCAAAATAATATCTTCACAGAGCATCAAATGCAAAATACACAGGAAAGCACAAATAAACACTTAAGATCGTATACAAATGCTAATATGGTGCTGCCTGTAGTAGTTTGCATCTGGCTCCATTCTTCTACCCTTCAACACATTCTTTTCTGTGCCTCTTACTTGGGGTAGGGTATATCTTCCCTGGCCTGGCCAGTGACTTTCTTTGGTCAATAGGAAGTCAGCAGATGTGACATAGAGATGCTTGGAAAGTACTCGTGCAACTGGATTTGTCCTTTTGCTTCTCTGCCATAGCTGTGAGAAGAATGTGGCCAGGCTAGCAAAGAAAGTCCACTCCAGCTGAGCCCAGTTTAGATCAGATTATTCCCAGCTCACCTGCAGACTAGTATACTAAATTAAGTTGTATGCCACTGAAATTTTGTGGTGATTGTATTATTATGGCATTATCCAACTGATACAATCATGATTTCCCCAGAAAACATTGAGGGAAAAAGTGGAAGTTTCAATAAGAGTAAACAATATAAAAATTTGTCTTTCTTTCAGAAGTGAATAAACAACTCATATCCTGATGGTTAACTATTGTATCAGAAACTTTTCCATTGGAAGAGTTTTAGGTCCTTTATGCCCTCAGTTCCTTCTCATCATGGTCTTCACTAGCAATTTTTTTTCTCCAATTTTTTCTTCTCCTTGGATCCAACCATTCTGTATTATTCCTGTTTCTGACATAAAGCCATGCCTCAGCATCCCAGCAATCAACCCCTTAACCAGCAGCCATTCTATTCAGATGAAAAAAAGAGAATGTTTCCCTATTAATACTGAATGATGAATTGTTCCAATTCACATACAAAACTTGGTAAGGCCTTTTGCTGTGTTTGTTATTTGTTTTTATTTTTAAAATAAATATTGTATTTTTTCTAGGACTAGTATGTTGTTGGAAATGGTGGGAAAGTGGTTGCATGGTATGTGTAGGTAGAATGGACTCTTGTATCTTGTTCCCTTTTAAAAATTGGAAATATTGTTTTAGGGTCAATTCCATTATTTTTGTCTCAGATTTTAAGAAAATCATCGGCCTAGTTTCTTGGTCTTGTTTTTTTTATAATGAATGTAAGATGGATGAAATGTTGGTTTTTTTTCATTTTTAATTGATTAAAAAAATTGAAAACACATAGAAATATTACAAACAGGTTCAGATGGGTGGCTATAAAAATTATATTTCCTTCTTTCTGTTATACATTCAACCCAGCCAAGCCCTACCTCAGAGTCAACCACTTGATAGTTCTTAGTGAATCTTGCCAGGCATCATCATTGTATATGTGAGCCCATATTTTACTTTCTAACTCTGCCCCACAACACCAAGACAATTTGCAATCAATGGCCCTGTAACTAGCCCCCTCAAAGGGCATTTAGATTGTTTCCAAAATTTTGTTATTATAAACAGTGTTGTAATGAATCTCCTTATAGAAAACATCACTTCCCCCATAAGCTAAGTATTTTTGTCAGTACTTTCCTGGGAGTGAAACTGCTGAATCAAAGGAATGAACAGCTTTCATTTGGAAAGATATTGGCTAATTTCTCTCAATAGAGGCGGTTTTAATTTGAATTTCCATTATCAATATATGACAGGGCCTATTTTCCATACTCTTGACCACAGAACATACTTCTCATTAAACTTTTGTATCTTCATCAATTTGATATATACAAGTGTTATCAGAGAAGTTTTATTTGCATTTTTTTCCCTGATCAGTGAGGTTGAATATCATTCAATTTGCTTAAACATTGAGAGATTTGTATTTCTTTCTCCTCATACTAACCATATCTTTTGCTGTAGACTGGATTTTTTTCTTGTTTTGGGTAGGAACTCTACATATTAAGGAAACCAGCACTTTGTCTGGAATATGAGCTGCAAAAATTGCCTATTGACAAATGGCAAGCCTTGTATATTTTTCACACAGAGCAGATACTTTTTAAACAATTCCCAACACAATAAAATTATTTTCAGTAAAAATTATGAAATAAATTACTAAATTATGGAGAAAACTATAAACAGCAAATATTTTCTTATATTGACATTTCATATAGAAATATATACAAAATCATGCTTATAAGAATAAAAAACTAAAATTCATACTACAATATAAATAAGGGAAAAAGTACTAGATAAATATTTTAAATTATATTACTGTATTTAATGAAAAAGGAAAAAATTAAATCTGTATAGAGGTCTGTTTTAGTAATGAATAATAATATTACAGCTTAAGAAAAAGATAAATTTCATTTTAAAGATACTATTCAAATTTGGTAAAATGTTTCCTGTATGAGCTACTATTTGTACTTAGCAAACAAAGATATTACACCTTTCAGTCTGCACTGTTTCACTACTTTACATTTTAAAAACAAAAATTCCAAATGGCCATTAGAATGACAAAACTGAAAACCCAACTGTTCTTGTTTCCTCATCCTTATAATCACTGTGACAAGATTGTTTATTTTGAATCTATTTACATTTGGGAAAATGTAAGAACACAGAATTTGAAGACAGGAACTGTACTTGAAGTGAACTTGAACAATTTTAATGCATAGTGCATGGGACTACTAGGCAGACTGTCAGGGTGAGACTGAGAGCTGGCTGAATTAACTTCCATTTTTAAGACAAAGTCTATAAAGGAAAAGTAAAAAAAAAAAAGTACCCACTTGAAGTTTACATTTGTATTTTAAAAACTCAACCTCAGCAACCTTAGCAATGGTTAACTGTGTTATAAATAGCCAAGAACCAAATGTGGCTATTTAAATTAAATTAATTAAAATTAAATGGGAATTCTTATTTCCAGTCAAGATAGAGTAATAGGAACCAGATCTACCATTCAGCCTAAAACAATCAAGAAATGGACAAAATATAGAAAACAATGATTTTCTATTCAGGCAATGAAGGGTAGTGATCCCTGATACTAGAGAAACAAATGAGGTAGTGAGCCCTCCAATTGTTCCATTTGATTTCCTTTGGAGAGTTTCCAGACTGTGGTGCAGAGACGGGGAACTTGAGCTGAGCTCAACGGATTCCCTGAATTGAGGAGACAGAGCTGACAGTCCTGGAAGACCAAGGCAGCTATAGTTCACAGAATAAAGTGATGGAAACAAGTGAGTGGCATAGAGAGAGAACTTTGGAGCTCTGCAGAAGATCCCTTATTAAGTGTTCATCTGAGTATTTATCAGCACCTTAGTGTGATGAAACTACCAGAGGATGGGGAAAGAACAATTCAAAAGAATTTAAGGTAACAAAGCCCAAGATCAAATGGGGCCATGAATAGTGCTTGCTGTCACTGTTCAGTGTTTTCTGTATTTTGCCCATTTCTTGATGGACATTCAGACTGGAAAATTTCATGATTCATGGGGCACTGGGTGGAGTACAAAGAAGAATCTTGCCTCAGAAGTGTGGAATAATTAGTCTTAGACCTAGCACTGTTCTGGTCCTACCTAAGAATGCTTAAAAGTAAGACCTGAAAGGATAAACCTGTTTTCAAGTAACTTAACTACATCTCAGAACAAAGCTCAAGAGTATTCATAGGAATACAAAAAATATCCAGCTTTGTTTTTTGAATATTTAAAAAATATTTTCTTTGTGGATACAATGTGGATTATACTTAACATCTTAAATTTATAGCAATCTAGTTTGAATTGATACCAACCTAGCTTCAAGAGCACATAAAAACTCTGCTCCTGTACAGTTCCATTGCCTTTTATGTTGTTATTGTCACACAATACATCTCTATACATTGTGTGCCTATTAATTTATAATTATTTTTATATATTTATCTTTTAAATCATGTAGGAAATGAAAAGAGGAGTTACAAACTAAATAATAAAATAACATTGGCTTTTGTATTTATCTATGTAGTTACCTTTACTGGAGTTCTTTATTTCTTCATATGGCTTCAAGTTACTGTCCAGCGTCCTTTTGTTCAGTCTGGAAAGAACTCCCTTTCTTGTAGTATATTTCTTATATACCAGATATACCAGCAACTAACTCTATATGCTTTTATTTATCTGAGAATGTCTTAATTTCTCTCATTTTTAAAAGGTAGCTTTGCTGGATATAAAATTCTTGGCTGACAGTTCTTTTCTTTCAGCACTTAAAAAATGTCATTCCATTCTCTTCTGACCTCCACAGTTATAAATGAGAAAGATGCTGATAATTTTATCGAGGATCTCTTATCCATGATAAGTTGGTTTTCTCTTGCTGCTTTCAAGATTTTCTGTTTTGTTCCTCGGCTTTTAACAGTTTCATTGTAATGTGCCTTGGTGTGGATTTCTTTGCATTATCTTCTTGGGGACCAGTAAGCTTCCTTAGTCTGTAGATTTATTATCTTTTATTAAATTAATGAAGTGTTTGGCTATTATTCCTTTAAACATTCTCTCTGATCCTCTCTCTCTTCTCCTGAGATTTCCATTTTCTGTATATTGGTATGCTTGATGGTGTCATATAGGTCTCTTAGGCTCTGTAAATGTTTATTCTCTTCCTGTTCCTCGGATTGGATAATTTAATTGACCAATCTTCAAGTTCACTTACTCTTCTGCCCACTCAAATCTGCTGTTAAAACCCTCTAGTGAGGTCTTTGTTATACTTTTCAGTCTAATTCCTTTTGTAATTTCCATATCTTTAATGATACTATGTTTTCGTACATCATCCTCCTGGTTTCATTTAGTTCTTTGAACATATTTAAGATGGTTGACTTAAAGTCTTCGGTTAAGTTTGAAGTCTGTTCTTCCTCAGGGATCAATTCTGTTAATTTCTCCTGCGAATGGGCCACATTTTCTTGTTTCATTGCATGCTTCATACCTTTTTGTTGAAGACTGGACATTTTGAATATTGTAACGTAGTAACTCTTGAAATCAAATTCTTCCTTCTCCTCAGTTTGCTTTTCATACTTTCTATAGACTGTAGCTGTTTATTAACTTTTCTAAACTGTTTTTTGTAAAATTTGGGTTTTTTTGTCATGTGTGGACTCTGAAGTCTTGCTTCTTTACCTTGTATTCAGCTAGTGTTTAGACAAAGATTTCCTTAAACATAAAGAACCAGAGAGAGAGAGTGAGAGAAAGAGAAAGGGGAAGGGAAAGAGAGGTGAAAAAGAAAGAATGAACCAAAAAAAGAAAGAAAGAAAGGAGGGAGGGAGGGAAGGAAGGAGGGAAGAAAAAGAAAGAAAGAAGAGAAAAGAAAAGAAAAAAGAAAAGAATAAAGAAACCCCTCAAATTGAGAACAACAGAAAAACCTTTCCCAGCTTTGCAAATGGCTCTGTTCTGGGGTACTCCTTCAGTGTTTAACTTGGCCATTTACAATTCTGCCTTCTTAGCCTTTACTTCATGCTTGTACTAAGCCTGGAGGTGTAGGCCTAGTGTCTCCTTAAGTCTTTTCTGAGTATCCTCCCTGGGCAAGTTCGTTACTTTCTAAATTCCCCAGTATATACAGGGGTTTTGAATGTCCTTATTTCCCATAGAAACTCTCTCCCTAACTTTTCCTCCGAAGCTTTGGCACTCCGTTTCATGTCTCAACTGTAATCTTTTGTCCCAGGTGGCTGTGGGTTGTTTGTTTGCTTGCCTTACAGTGTTTTTGAGGAACACCTGCTGGCTTTCCACTCTGAGTGAGTTCCCAGTTAGATGAAACAAAGATAAGTACATTGCGCCAGTCTTTGAAGTAGTCCCCAGGCAGTTAGAACAAACACAATCGTTGTTTTATGAAGTCTGCTCTGCTCTTTCTTGAGCTAGGGACTCCACACTAGGACGTGGACTGCCATCTTCAAGACTGCCACTAATTTGGGAACAGGGTGGGACAAGGGCAAGTAGAAATGCCAGTTTCCTACCAGGTTTAAGTTGTCTTTTCCTTCATTTAGCATCCACTTGGGTGCTGTAGGCCTTTGACAGATAACTGGAGTTGTGACAAAGTCATTCTGACAGTTTGCTTGATTTTTCTTTTTTTTTTTTTTGTGGGACGGACGAGTATTTGGATTCGCCTGCTCTGCCGTGTTTGCTGTGTTTGCCGTGTTTGCTGTGCCTGCATTGCGTATTGCCTCCTGTGCATCTTCTCTTTCCAGCAACTGATCACTGCACTGAACATCACCCCCGTTCTTTCTCTCCAAAATACTACCCATATAAACCGAGGTTTGTAATATGCTTTCAGGGTAAAATAAAAATTTAAGGTTTCAGTGATTATGTCACAGCACAGTACTATCACAGTAGGTAACCACATTGACTGAAATACTTGGCTTTCCTGTTCCTTAATGTCCCTTGGTTATTGATACAGCAGCCAGCCCCTGTGTGGTCTGAATTTCTCTCCCATCCTTTCCTGAGTCTCCTTACCTCTTTCTCCAGGCAGGTTCAGTAAAACCAAAATTCTCATTTCACTATTGAGAACAACGTTAAGGTCTATCCCCCGCTGCCCACCCCATCATTGACATAATCCATCTCCAAATTAGTCCATCAGAATGTTTTGATATAAAAAAGGAGCTGGGCTTTTTATTCTCTACAAGAAAATCTGCTCCCTTATTTCAAAAGAACAAAAATTTCTCCCAGCTGTACATGTTTTATTTCATATTGAAAATGTAGATACATTATAAAACTTCTTTGAACACATTTATGTTTTCTCTATGGTACCTCCATTTAAAAATGATTACTTCTCAGCAGGTGGGATAAAAAAAACCACTCCATTATCTTTTATAAACTAATATTTTAGGAAGTTCTGAAATTTTCACAAATATGATATTAACTCTTCTCAAAATGCTCTTTCTTGAAGGAATGAAGACAACTTATTGTTAGATGATTGGTCAGTAAAAGAAAGCTCTTTTCCTTAGTGTAAGTAGAAACTATTATTTTCAGTTTTGTTTTTTATTTTTTCCAGGGATCCAAAATGTGACTGAAATACCTTTTTTTCTGAAAAACCAAATGTTTCTTATTATAATGTAACACACATTTATTTGGTATTTAAAGAAGAAAAATGAAGAATGAATAAAGCAAAATTTCTGAAATCTGAAAATTCATTAATACATAAAACAAAATAAAAATAACCAGTAATCCCATCACTCAGAGATACCAACTATTATCTATTTGATATATACTCTTTAAGAACTTTTAAACTGCCATTTACGTAAGGAGTCGTATGTGTGAGTGTGTATGTGTGTGTGTATTTTTCTCTTTAACAAAAATAAGGTTTTAGTGAGGGCTTCTTTATTTCAATAAATATAAAAGTACCATTTTAATAGCTACATGATATTTCATTTATGGACATAAAATAATTCAGTTTTCTATCAATGAGCACTTACTTTATTTCTATTTGTTCTACACTATCAACATTGCATATATATTTTATAAGTTATAAGAAACAAAGTATGTAATTCTGATTTCTTAGTTTTCTTTAAATATTTGTTGCCATAAACGGGCCCTAAAACAAAACAATTTTGGAATTGTTTCAAAATGTTATGACCACAAAAGTAGGCAATCAATAAGTATCTAAAATGTCTTAAACATTGCTAAACTTCACAGACCACCTTCCAGACTGGCTATGATCTGTCAGTCTGTCAAGGTTTTAACTCCTTGAGTTGCCTACAGTCTCCACTCTGATCAAATGGATTCATTCATCTGGAGGAGCCTAGTGCTTTGGGATCTTTCTACCATAGCACTTGCTGCTTTTCCAGGCTGAAAATCACTTCCTCTCTCTCTCCACTGATCAAATTTAATCCAGAACCGTAGGTCTAGCTCAGATCTCACCCAGTCCATAAACTCTCCTGACCTCCTAGCAGGAAGGGATTTTTCCTCTCATTAAAGTCTCTTGGCAGATGATATTTGTACCATTTCTGGGGTAATTAAATATATACTGTCTGGTAACAGTTCTTTCTCTTGTGTTTCAAATGTTATTTAAATCTTGCTTAGTAGTTCCTCACTGGCATATTTCTATCATCCTTCTACAACTGTACCAAAAAGCTACTGAGGGAAGGGATCGGTCTTGCTATTTGCCCAGCACTGTACCTTGCACATTGACAGAGCCTGATAAATGTTTATTGATTTAACATTTACTGTAAATTATGGATCTATATTAATAAAATTCTCATTCAGCTCGATTGCTATGCACAAATAAGAGCATGTGAAAAAAGCAGTTCCTTAAAGATCTTTCATCAAGATATTAACATAAAATCTTTGTTACACTAGATACTGTCATTGTCAGCAACTGAACTATGTAATCTTTAAGTCAAAATGATATCCTTAAGATTTTTTTCTGTATTTTGATTTATTTAAAATACCTTAAAATAGTTTGCACAAGTATTGAATTACTTACCTTGCCAAAACTTAAGGAGAAGCACACAAGTAACAGAGTAATATGAGCCAGCTTCATGTTGGAGACAGTCAGGGTCTGTGTCTCTACTGTGAACTCTTCTGCAATCCAGATATTCTTTTGAAATTTAATTTTTAACCTCTGAAAAAATATTTATAAAGAGCAAGCCTCCTCAAGAGCTTTGTACTTTTGAACTCGTGGAGAATTTGGCTGACATCCAGAGTTTTACCGTAACTGAAACCAAAAATGGCCTCAGTAAATAGCTGAGGGAGGCAAGCAACAGAGACTGCGTTTCCTGAAGAGGAAGCTGATGCCCCACATTGTACTGAACAATGCCTCATTTGTTTTCTGGAGAAGACAGAGCCCACTGGAAGTTTCTTATGTTTTGGTAAAAAAGAATTACATTTTTCTTTAATGATGAAGACTAGAAGATGGTAAGAAAAGTCTATCATATTGAAGATTGAGCTAAATCCATTAACAATCCTCAACAAATCGGTTGCTTTATCATTCATAGATTTTGCTGTGATCAAATTATTTTCTTTAAACAGAAACACTAAGAATATGAAAATGAATATATGTATATATATGCATGACTGGGACATTGTGCTGTACAGCAGAAATTGACCACATTGTAACTGATTGTACTTCAATTTAAAAAAAAAAAGAAAAAAAACCCCAAACCCCCAAAAAACCCAGAAACAGTGTCAGTTTGGATTCTCCTGAAGCACATGTAAGACAGAGTTTGGGGTGGGAGATAGTTTTATCAGGAATCAACTCCTGGGAAAGGAGGGGAGAAGCAGCAGGAGTGAGCAGAAAGAGAAATCAGACTGCAGTGCAGGTCCGAAGCCTTGGCCAGCTCGTGGGGTGCTCTGCAGTGAGTGTGGCCTGTCACAGTATCCCTGGGGAGGCAGAAATGGCTGGATCCTGCCCGCCTTGCTCAGATACCTGGTGAGGGTGGCCCAGGAAAGGCATGCCCTTAGGTGAGGTAAGTCTCTGTAGCTGAGGCAGACCCCGAAGGATCTGACAGAAGGAAGTGTCTGCTGACCATATTCGTCACAGCCAGGCTGCCAGAACTTCCTTGGAGGGGGCTCTGGGAAATTCATCTCCATGTCTTTCAGTACTTTTAGACCGACTTTCCATATAGGCTTCAAGGTGGCTCCTTCACAACCGCAGTAGGCCTCTCTTCCTGAGAGGTAATTTAGGAGAGAGAGGTTGCAGGCGGTGGGTGGGTGGGGGACTGTGGCCTCGCCCTTGCGATGGAGCTTGGGGCTGCAGTTGATACTCATCCTCTGCCTCCTTCCTGTCCGTTCTAGATTCCCTTCACCCTGAGCTTCCACCTCTGCTGGCCTTGGTGGCTGACCTGGTGGCATGACTCTTCCAGGAGTGATCTGAGCCCCAGGTTACCACAGTTGCTATTTCTATCCCTTTTCCATCACAAGAGGCACCTGACTAGCTCACATGGCTCCACACACATTCCTCCCTGCCCTCATTGTTTAACAGCAGCCCTACTTCCTCTGAATTATCCGAGTCAGCTATTCCTATCAAGGTAGGGGGCACTCCTCTTCTTCCCTACTGGTCCCTAGACACAAGCAGCTCAGCACGACAACGCACAAGGCAGAAGGCTGAGCTTACAATTCAGTGGGATTCCTGCTGTGTCCCAGGACAAAAGGGAGCTTCCTTTGGAGAACAGACCTCTAGCCTTGCAAAGTATGCAGTTGTGGGGACAGGGAGCACAAGGCCTCCAGTTGGTCATTGGAAGTGATGGTAAGTGTGGTCATTCCTGCTTCTGTTCCTTTGCTCCCAGACCTGTGTCTTCTCTCCATTGGGGATACAGTGCTTTATGAAGGTCCTTTGAGTCAGTGCATATACTGCTTCCTGGAGGATAGCACTGTCTTCACAGAGTATTGCCTTAAGTACACCCCAGCTCAGTAATCAGCAAGTTGCTCCAATGCTTCATGAGGCTGCCAGCTTCTGAGCGGTGCAGTATGTGATACAACCAGTGGACTGCATGGTCAGAGGCCCACTCTCACATCTCCTCTGCTATAAAGTGGGTCCCCTTGTCTGTCAAGATGTTATATGGAATCCTTTGTTGGAGGATTAAATACTCTGTAATCCTTTGGCTTATGATCCTGAGGCCCTGCAGGCTGGAAAGGGACACCCTCACCTGTAATATATGTCTATTCCTGTGAGAATGTACCACTGGGTCTTTTAAGATTGAAGAAACTGACTGTGATAATTTACCAAGTGGCTAGTTGGTATCCTTGATGAGTTGTACCATCTTGGGGGCTCTGCATTGGTCTCTGTTGCTGTTAGACTGGACATTTGTTGATGTTAGTAGCTAAATAAACCTTTGGGGTCTGTGTTGTTGGCTTCCTGGGTAGCTTCCATCCCTGCTACCACGGCCACTTTATGCTGGTGGCCATCATGCTAGTACTGGGGTTGCTGATGACTGAGGTTGGCTGATATTAACTGGCTGAGTCATTCTGTTGGTTACTTAGTGACTTTTCTCTGGTGGCTATTCGCTGGTGGGTGTTAACAGGGGATACAAAGAGTTTTACACTTCACCCCCTTCTATATGTACATCCACATATCCCTACACCAGACCTTCCTGATCCTAATGTTTGAATATTTTTCATTCTAGGAAAAAAGATGATCAATCACTATTGCTGTGATTCCATATATAGTGGGCCACTTATTTTTTCACACAAAAAAGCGGATGGCCAGGTGTACTACCTGAAGCTACGTCCATTGGGAGGACTTCCCTTCACCACTATCTTTCAAAAACCATTACTAAGTGTGGTTGTAATGCAGCTGCTATTTTGGGGTTGCAACTACACACTGAGCCAACCCAACTGTAAACCAAACACAAACTTTTCCCTCCTCCTTCAGCTGGTCATACCAGATTTCCCATAGAGCCATAGGTGTGAGCTAATGGAGGGACAGAGGTGCAACAGTTTGGATTTGGGGGAAAGGGGGAATTTGGGCTACCTGATCATGTACTTTGCTTGTGTCATTTGGTCCTGTTTGTATTTGGTTTCAGATGTAACACTTTGATCTTACGTTTTTTTCTAGACCTTACTCAAACTTGTGCTAATAGGACCCAGCTCATAAATGGGCATTTCTGCCACATGGTAACACAGTATCGTGTTCAGTTAGTCTACATTTACCAGGGTCCAGGAGTGCATAAGTTGTTTCTCAAAAAGAAAATAATTCTCTGCTGCAGATGGCATGGCCTTTTCCAGAAACCCAGTGTCCTGAATTGTAGTTCTCCCACTGGGTCTTCCTCAAATACTCTGCAATGTTATTTCCCACCACCAATACCCCTAATACCGTAGGGTTTGCTGGATTACTGCAGAACTCTTTCCTGCTCTGGTAGCCAAAGCAGTATTCTTCTGTATGAAATATTTGCCCCCAAATCAACTATTCCCTCAAGGGAATATCCCCAAAAGGCTCACTAAGTTTCATGCTTCCTTCTTTGTGAAATGAAATACAATACAAAATAATTTGGTTTTTACTTCAGAGAAGGTGTTCTGGAAGGTTTGAGAACTGGTTTCCTAAAATTTTACTATGTGCTAGGATTTCTCTCCTGCTCTCTGTGTCTTATTCAGCATACTAGCTGCCACTTGCTTATCTGCTCTGATTGAGGTAATGCTATCAGTGTAATAAAACAGTGTAGTTTTACAGGAAGTCCAGATGATAGCCAGATCTCTTCAGACTTTATTATGACACAGGTTGGGAGAAAAGAGCTGTGAAAAAACTATAAATGTTATACTGTTGTTCATCCCATGTGAATGGAAACTGTTTCTGATATTCTTTTCTACTTAAAATACTTACAGTGGTTTTGGTTTTTCTGATCAAATTATTATTGATATACTTTATAGTACTGCTAAAACTAGAATCAAGGTTCTTATCTCTAAAAGGAATTTAATTGAAACAAATATTAAACTTTAGGTAGGTGTTAGAATTTCTAAGCTTAGAAAAAATAGAAAAAAACAAAAAGAAAAGAATTTATATATCCAAATTATATTAAAATTTTTATAACAAAAAAGCACTGAAAAAAATGAACATACATGTAACTCAGGATACTATTAAAAACAATTAAAAAATTAAAAATGATATAAAGAAAATAGTAAAGACATAAGCAATAGTAAATAAATCAGAAAGTCAAATAGTAGATTTGATTTAAAAATGAGTCATTTTGAGAAATAATTTTAAAAAGAGAGAGTAAAACAATTTTAAAGGAAAGCTATTGAAGTGGACATTCTTAGGGGCTGCCAACATCCATGATCTTTATAATAGGTTCTCAATTTTCTGTGTGGAATTATCTTTCTTCTGTGAGTTGTTTTGGTGGGAGAGCCATCTGCTTTCCAAGTGGCAGTTGAGAAATCCATATCTAGCCTCTTTCCATTCCCTTTTATAGCCCAGGGACTGATCAAAGAGTCTCCCTCTCTGGTGTTTCAGTCAAAAGAAACAGTTGTGAATTATTTATTGCAGCAGGAGCAATTTATCAGTCAGACATTTTCAGCTATAAGATAAGCTTCCTTTGATTCCTTTTGGCTTGGTTAAGTACCATTAATTCTTAAGCCTATATGCTTAGCCTCCTTCTGTACTGTGAACATCTAATAATTTCCAAATTAATTTTCTTTTACTAAAGTTAGCTACAGTAGGTTTCGTGGGTTGTCACTCAGAACCTTAAATGATAGTATCATGTGCAATTTATCAAATAATCTGAAGAGCTAGAAGAAAATTTCAAGGAAAACAGAATTATCAGAGAGAAAGAGAAAGTTCAAATAAATTAATAGCTAAGAAGAAACAGAAAAGTTAGATTTTAAACTTCCAAAGATACTAAGTTTTACTGTTTTAAGAAAGATCATTCCTCAGTTATTTAAACTTTTCCAGAATACAGAAAAAGATAAAAAGCTCTCCAACTTATTAGCAATATAATCTGATACACTTATCCAAAACTGAGTGAGCCTCTGAAAGAAATATATAAGCTAATCTTAATAATAATTATTATTAATTAATATATTATTAATATTCATGCAATAACCCTAAATAAAATATTAGCAAACCATATGTCATAAACTACAATATAGTAAAAGAATAACATATCATGATTAAGTGGGGACCATTTCAGAAATACAGGGGTGTTCAACATTAGGATATCTATTAATGTAATT